GATTACAGACATGCACCACCACACCCAGCTTATTTTTTGTATTTTGAGTAGAGACAGGTTTTCTCCATGTTGGTCAGGCTGGTCTCGAACTCTTGACGTCAGGTGATCCACCTGCCTCAGCCTCCCAAAGTGCTGGGATTGCAGGCGTGAGCCACTGAGTCTGGCAGGTTGCATTCTTCTGAGTTTCTGATTAGACTTTCCAAAGAAAGTAATCAGATGTTCATTTATCTCAGTGAGCAGATGCGTGACTTTGAATTCTGTCCATCCTTTGCGAGGAATTTTGTGGATAAATCATGAGGAAGATACGCGATTTTTTTTTTTTTTTTTTAGATCTTGGTAGCTGTGTTTTTTAGGGATAGGATGGGAGGCAGGTCAAGCAGTTGCCAGCTTGACTTTCCCCTTTGGCTTAGTGATTTGGGGGTCCCAAGATTCATTTTCCTTTCACAGCACAAACGCTTGTACACAAATGTCCATAGCAGTTTTACATGTGCTGGCCCCATCAGCAGAGGAGGAAGTTATAGTGTATCCAACAATGGAACACTTTTTATAAAAAACATCAACAATTGATATATGCCACAGTGTGGGGGACTCTAAGTCTGCTGTCACAGAGGACAGGCATGGTTGTACTCTTCTGTCTTATACAAAGAGGTGCACATTGCACGATTCTAGCCGATGCACCGTCTATGGTCACAGCAGATTCATGGTTGCCTGTGGGGGGAGGGGAAGAATTACAAGGAGCACAGGAACGTTTGGGAGTGGTGAAGACGTTAGCAGTGGCTCCCCGGGGGTATGCATGACAAAACCTAGCAAACCTACACTTTAAATACTTGAAGTGAGCCAGGTGTGGTAGCTCACGCCTGTAAGTCCAGCACTTTGGGAGGCAGGAGTTCGAGACTTGCCTGGCCAACATGGCAAAATCCCATCTCTACGAAAAATACAAACATTTTCCGGGCATGGTGGTGGGCACCTGTGGTCCCAGCTCCTCGGGAGGCTGAGGCAGGAGAGTCACTTGAACCCAGGAGGGGAAGGTTACAGTGAGACGAGATTGCACCACTGCACTCCAGCCTGGGCGACAGTGCGAAACTCCGTCTCAGAAAATAGATAAACAAATACTTAAAGTGTGTTATGTGCTAATTATACTTCGATAAAGCTATAAAAAATGAAAAGGAGGCCGGGCGTGGTGATGGTGCCTGTGGTCCCAGCTACTTGGAAGGCTGGGGCTGCAGGGTCACTTGAGCCTGGGAGGTGGAGGCTGCAGTGAGCTGGGATCGCACCATTGCACTCCAGTCTGGGCGACAAAGTGAAACCCCGTCAGAAAAAAAAAAGGAAGGAAGGAAAGAGAGAAAGACGGAAAGAAAGAGAAACAGAAAGAAAAAGAAAGCTAGAGGGCTGGGCACGGTGGCTCCCCAGCACTTTGGGGGACTGAGGCGGGTGGATCACGAGGTCAAGAGATCGAGACCATCCTTGTCAACATGGTGAAACCCTGTCTACTAAAAATACAAAAATTAGCTGGGCATGGTGGCATGCGCCTGTAATCCCAGCTACTCGGGAGGCTGAGGCAGGAGAGAGAATTGCTTGAACCCAGGAGGCGGAGGTTGCAGTGAGCCGAGATCGTGCCATTGCACTCTAGCCTGGGAAACAACAGTGAAACTCCGTCTCAACAAAAATAAAATAAAAAAAAAAACACAAAAAGAAAAAAAGCTAGAAAAAGAAAGGAAGGAAGGAAAGAAAAAAAAGAAAGGTGAATGGTTTGGGGCTTAGCCCCGCATGCACAGTCGCTCGTGGAATCAGCTCCTGACTGTCTTAGGACAAGGGCTTTCACTTGGGCTACGTGGCTTCAGGAAAGGAAGCCCAGCAACCCCCAAGAAATGCCCTTCTCGCCGCTGCCCGCCGTGGAGGGGGCAGGACCTGGGGCCCCCTGACCAGGGCAGGGGTTATGGAGCCCGTCCACTGCTCAGTGGTGTCCTGGTGCCCTCTGGTGGCCTCTCGGAGCACAGCAGGCCGGGTCCCTCACCCCGCAGGCCCAGGTGTTGGTCTCTGCCTCCACCATAGAGCTGGGTTATCCTTCCTTCCTGGACTGAGCGGTGCTGTTGCCTGAAGTGCGGGGGGATCCTGCCTATTCCTCGTCCCACAGCTGCCTTCCCCCTGTGGCTCCCACCAGGAAGGTTCATGACGAGGCTGGGAGTGAAGACGAAGTCCCCGGCCAGCCCCAGGGACAGCGTGTCCTGCAAGGCCTCATGTAGGGCCCCTCCCTCCTCGACCTCCCGACACAGGCCCCTGGCTGCAGCCTGGCCGTTGGCCTCCCTGCCTCTCCTGTCCCAAGCCCCAAAGCCTTCTCATCTGGTGACGGTCACGTGGGGCCCGGATGCCACCTGCATGGCCACCCAGGATGTGGTGCTGGGTCGGCTGGGCGACCACAGGAAGACAGAGAGGAGTCCCATGCCCCAACGTCTGTCCACAAACGTCCATGCCAAGTGTGTGCAGATCTGGGCGTGAAAGGTGACACAATAAAGTTTTTTTTTTTTTTTTTGAGATGGAGTCTTTCTCTGTCGCCCAGGCTGGAGTACAATAGCATGATCTCTGCCCACCACAACCTCTGCCTCCTTGGTTCAAGCAATCCTCCTGCCTCAGACTCCAGAGTGTCTGGGATTATAGGCACACGCCACCATATCTGGCTAATTTTTTTTGTATTTTTAGTAGAGACGGGGTTTCACCGTGTTGGTTAAGCTGGTCTTGAACTCCTAACCTCATAATCTGCCCACCTCGGCCTCCTAAGATGCTGGGGTTACAGGCGTAAGCCACCATGCCCAGCCACAATGAAGTTTTTTTAAATGTGAAGGAGTATCAGGCCGGGTGTGGTGCCTCGCACCTGTAGTCCCAGCATTTTGGGCGGCCAAGGAGGGTGGATTACCTGAGGTCAGGAGTTTGAGACCAGCCTGGGACACATGGTGAAAACCCATCTCTACTAAAAACACAAAATTGGCTGGGCATGGTGACACATGCCTGTAACCTCAGCTACTCAGGAGGCTGAGGTAGGAGAGTTGCTTGAACCCAGGAGGTGGAGGTTGCAGTGAGCACAGATTTCACCATTGCATTCCAGCCTGGGCAACGAGAGCGAAATTCCATCTCAAACAAACAAAGGCACTATTAAGAGGGTGGAAAGTGGAGGCAAAGAGAAGAGTTCAATAAAGAGCTTGTCCAGAACATGCAACTCCAGGAACTGTGGGGCAGCAACTTCTCAAGTTGACCCCATGCATCCTAGAAACACGAGAGGGTCATCGAAAGGAATGTTCCAGGATAGTCGTGGCTGCACCACGTGTGAGAGCTGCAAACTGGACATGACCCACGTCACCACCCATGGGAAACTCAGGCAGCCACGTGGCATGTTCTCGTGGGACAGCCTCACCCGCAGCCCTCGTGGCAGCTGTCTCCAGAGCGCAACCTCGGCCGAGGACACCACTGCAGAAAGGTATGCAGGGTGTGAGTCCGCCTGTGAAGGCTCACGACAGGCTGGCCCTGGGGGTGAATGCCTTGTCCTGTGGGCTCGAGCCGGCTACTTCCTGAAGAGCATCGTGTGGGACCAGGCATGCACTTTTGCACACCTCGCCCTCACCACCACCCCTCACAGCACAGGCCCCAGCACCCTGGACTGTCAGGAGCTTCTGGTTCCAAGGCCCCCTCCTCAGAGAGGTCTCTGGCCACCCGTCTCCCTCCTTCTTTCTCAGGACATGTTATTGTCGGAGCTGAGCTCATCTCCCTGCTTGATGGGATGTTTATTGTGGCTCCCTTGCCCTGTTCTCCTGTCCCCGGCTTGGAACCTGCCTGGGGGTGGGCACTGTGAACCCCAAGGTCAGGACAGCCTGGAGGGTGCAGCTGAGCAGAGCCAGGGGTGAAGGTCCAGAGGGTCACTCGCCCTCACATGAGCCCTGAGGTCAGGACACAGAGGCCATCTCAGAAGCGGGCCAGAACATTCCAGGGCAGCAGGGAGGGCAGGTCTGAGGTTTCACTGCGGCGGCGGAAGCACAGCGTGGCCTTCAGCTTGGGAAGGACCCTGCAGTGCTGTTTGCTGGTCAGCGCCCTGCGGCTAGTGTCCGACCCCACTGCAGCCAGCCCCACACCAGGAAGCTGTTCTCACAGCCGTAGCTGGAGGGCCCTCAAATGCCATCTATTTGTGGCCTGGACCCTGAGGGCTGGCACGTGTCACATGTAACCACAGGGACATGGTATTTTTGGCACAGGGGGTGGAGCCTGTTCGGCCAGCCTAGTGCCATGCCAGGGACAGACTGCTCAGACACCTGCTTGGCCGCCGGGACCCAGGTAGGACATGACCCGCTGCTTGCTCCTGACCCAAGGGTCCCAATGGCAACAAACCCTAGAGACTTCTCAAGGGACCAGAGAGGAGGGCAAAGGTCAGTGGGCAGAAAGCCGCCGTTTCCTGGCCTCAAGGCATCTCCATCTCAGGACTGTCCCCGAGAGTGACCTCCTACACCCTGGGTCCAGAGGGGCTGACCTGAGGCCGAGGGGAGCCCCCTCTTGGGGTACACCTAACAGCCAGCTAGGTTCTCCCTGTTCTCTGAGATGGGGCAAAGGAAGGCACCCCTGGTAGCTGGGCAGGCCTGGGTCGTGGTGAAGACCTTGAGGACGGCCCGAGGTGGCCGCTGGCGGCTGAGAAACCATCTCACCCTGCACCTCCTGCCCAGGCTCTCCCTGCTGACCTGGGCCGTCTCAGACCAGCACCACTTGGTGAGCTCAGAGGAAGCCCGTCCCAGCCAAGGCGATGGGAAGGTCATCCCCAAGGGCTGGGCACCTGCCGGGCCCTGTAAACCAGCTGCGGCACGCTGGTCAGGCCAGGGCTGCCCCCCCGAACCCGAGGTCATTGGTCCCACTGGGTGGACCTCAAAAGGGGCTTTGCTGTGTAAAGACAGTGCTGGCAGAGGGTGGAGGGGGTGAGGCTGCCAGCGAAGCCGTGATGGGAAGCAGCATTCAGACCTGAGGACTGCTGGTTTATAGGGTGCTTCATTGATAGGTCATTTCCGATTTTAGGAATGTAGCAACGTCTTTCAAAGCCCGTCTGAGTGCGCTGGGAAATAGGGCCATGGGAGCTGCAGACTTGCTAGCTTGGAGGAAATCGTCGCCACTAGGTTTGAAGGAGGCCCGGCCCTTCTATATGCTGTTCTCTTCCTTCCAGGGCACGCATAGAGCCCCGAGGCAGTGGGAGCCCCCAGGTCTCGTGGGGCAGGGGCAGCAGGTGCAGGGTGGTGCCTGGGGCCTGAACCCATGAGGACCCCACCAGTCTCAGTGCCTCTGCTGACCCCAGATGGAAAATTTCCAGTACAGCGTCCAGCTGAGTGACCAGGACTGGGCCGAGTTCTCAGCCACCACCGACGAGTGTGGCCTCCTGCAGGCTGGCCTGGCCTCTGGGGACGAGCTCTTGTCCAGTGACATTGACCAAGGGGACAGCAGCGGCAGCAATCCCCCCAGCGCCCCGCCTCTCCTGACTGGGCAGCCAGTGGTTGGGGGGCAGGGCTGTGAGGAGGAGGAGGTGGCCGGGCAGTTCCCTGTCAGCAGGTCTTGGTGTGACCCTGTCTTGGCCCTGGGGACCAGTCACCTGACACCCAGCACGTCCGCACGGGCAGAAGCTCGGCTGTTCCTTGGCCCCGGCACCACTCCTCCTGGCCAGCACTCATCCCGCCCCAGTCCAGCGTCTTCTGGAGACCAGATGCAGAGACTTCTACAGGGGCCTGCCCCACAGCCCCCAGGGGAGCCCCCTCAAAGTCCTGAGTCCCCTGGCCACTGCGCTGCCTCCCAGAGGCCCCCCAGTAGCCCTGGAGCCTCGTCATGGAGCCCCGGCCGAAAGAAGAGGCGAGCGGTGGGTGCTAAGGGGAGTGGGCAGGCAGGAGCCCCTGCTTCTGCACAGACGGACTCCCCTGAGATTGCAAAGCTGACAGCCAGAGCCAGGCAGGAGAAGCTGGGGCCAGGCCCTGTAGGAGCTCCCAAGCCTGGCCCTGGGCCTCCTGTTCAGGAAGCCAAACTAGGGCCAGGTTTGGGCCTGTCCATACCTGTCCCTGTGACTGAGCAAGGTACAGACCAAATCAGAGCCGCCCCCAGCACCAGGCTGCACACAGTGTCCAGACCCATCCAGGAAGCCCACCCAGATGTTTCACGGTCTGAGTCATACATGGCTGTGTCTACACCCGCCTCCAAGCCTCAGTGTGACATCGCTGTGTCTACACCCGCCTCCAAGCCTCAACCTGACATGGCTGTGTCTACACCAGCCTCCACTTCTCAACCAGACATGGACATGGCTCTGTCCACACCAGCCTCCACATCTTGCCTGGATGTGGCCTTGGCTACAGCAGGCCGAGTGGTGAAGCTAGAGGTGGCTTCATTTCCACCTGTCTCAGGGGCTGTGCCAAGGATGGCCGAGTCGGCCGGGCTTGTGTGTACACCTGGTTCTGGAGCTGACACCACTGGCCCTGCTTGGTCTCCCACCCAAAAAGCTGGGCCTGACGTGGTGGACACGGAGGTTGTCGGGTCTGAGCCCTCAGCACGAGCCTGTGGACGCTGCTCTGGGGAGCCCACACCGGGTCTCACCCAAGTCCCCAAGAAGAAGAAAGTGCGATTCTCCATGGTTGTCCCCACCCCCAAGGAGCCAGGCACAGGGGAGGCCTCAGGCCCGGCCCCACCCGCCACAGCCCGGCCCTCAGCCCTCCGGACAGTGACTGGGGGTCACAGGGGGCCTGGAGTCTGGGACGCTGTGGCCTTTGGGCCCCAGCCCCACCAGCCTCGCATCCTCAAGCATCTGCCTCGCCCGCCCCCTTCTGCCATGACGAGGGCCGGGCCCGGGAGCCGCTTTGCTGTGACCCTCCCAGAGGCCTACGAGTTCTTCTTCTGTGACCCCATCGAGGAGGACGAACATGCCGAGGCAGCAGCGGCCAGCCAGGGCCCAGCAGATGTCCAGTGGCCGGACACGTGCGAGTTCTTCTTCCAAGACTGTGGAGCCCAGAGGTTGAGGCAGCGGCGGGCCCCAGTGCCATCCCCGAGAGCTGGTTCCATGCCGGCCCCCCCACCTGGAGACCCCGTGCCCATTTCCATCCCTGAGGCCTATGAACACTTCTTTGGAGAGGATGTGCCTGGGGGTGTCCCGGGTGCGGGGGCTGCCCCGAACTGGCTACAGGCCCTGGAGCCTCCCAGCTTGGCCTCCCAGGGAGCGGGGCCTGGGACCCCCTCCAAGCCAGCCACAGTAGAGCGGTTCCACCTGGCTCTCAGGCAGGCAGGTACGTGCCCTCGGGTCCCACAGCCCATCCAGGTCACAGACACACAGTGTCCAGGGAGCTCAGCCACGGGGCCGCTGAGGGGCAGGCAGGCAGGGCCCAGGTCATTCCAGGACACAGTGCAGACGGGGCGGCCATGGCCAGGCACCCGGGCCGTTCAGGGCTTTGGCTCCGCACTGGCCGTTGGTCTGTTCAGCCCACGTGATGACAGCGCCTGCCCCGGCCTCTGGTGAGCTCCTGTCCAGGCCTGGCTGCCTTCAGGGTGAGGCGTTCGCCAGGTAGCATCACACATCTCATCTCCTCTGGGAGGTGCTTTACGCATCAGAAAATGGGGGCCCACAGGCAGTTCCCCGAAACTGGCCCAGCTCAACCACGTGAAAGTCTCAGACAGATGTGTCGGGGCAGGTGGTTCTTGGGAAGATGTGTCCAGGACAAACGGATCTTGGGACAGATGTGTCCCAGGATGGATGTGTCAGGGGCAGGCGTGTGTGGGGCAGATGGCTCTTGGGGCGGGTGGTTGGTTCTTGGGGCAGGCGTGTGCGGGGCAGGTGTTTCCTGGGGCAAGCGGTTCCTGGGGCAAGCGGTTCCCGGGGCAGGTGGTTCTCGGGGTGGGCGTGCAGGCCAGTCTCTGAGTGCGGCTGTGGGGCTGAAGGAGGGCTTCTTTCCTAGGGGAGCTCCGGGGGCCCGTCCCATCATCTGTCTTCAGCCAGAATGACATGTGCCTGGTGTTTGTAGCCTTTGCCACCTGGGCTGTGAGGACGTCAGATCTGCACACCCCAGACGCCTGGAAAACAGGTTCGGGTGCCTGGGGGCAGAGGGAACTGTGCCTATAAGTCAGACCCAGGGGCACCAGCAGGATGAGGGTTGTGTGGGGGACCCAGGGCTCTCCCCTGACCTCCTCCCCAGCCGCACGGGACTTGCCCGTCCTTCGAGTCCTGAGCGTTTCGGGCAGATGGTGCTGACGGCCACAGCTGGCCCTCAGGAGACCCTGTGCTTCCCTTGCAGTCTTGCTGGCCAACATTGGCACCGTCTCTGCCATCCGATTCTTCCGCCGGCAGGTGAGGCAAGGGTGCCGCAGCCGCAGCCGCAGCCCCAGCCCCAGCTCCTAGGAGCCAGGCCCGGGCCAGGGAGACGCAGGACGAGGAGCTGAGCACGGGTGCCTGGAACAGGTGCCGCCCTCGCCGGGGCCCCCTGACTCGTCTTCTGCGGGGTCCGGGGGGGCGTGTCCTGGTGCTGCTCCCTAGGACTCACCTGAGGGTCCAGCCAGTGAGCACAGCTGCTCCCCACACTGGGGACGGAGATGCCAGTCTCGGTGGGTGGAGGCCGGGCAGGTGGCTGGGCAGCAGGGTGGCCAGATTCACAGATGAGAACACGGGGCATGTGGTTAAATTTGAATTTCGGACGTGCAATACTACGGAGGCCATTTTACTGAGAAGTGACTTGTTTACCTGGAAACCGCCCCTGTGCTTCCAGGATGCAGTGGGGCTGAGCGGCGGGACAGGAGCTCTGGGCAGAGGAAGGAGTGAGGACATGGGGTGGCCTCAAAGCGGGTGGGGGGTCTAAGGACTCTGCCCTCCTCATGGGTAGGCTTGGTGGCAAGGGCTCCGAGGCTCATCACCCCAAATTCCAGAGGGACTGTGGCCAAGGCCTCTCGGGCTCTGGCCTGACACAGTGAAGGCGGCCCCTGCAGGGTGGGGGGTCTGCAGTAGAGCCCCGAGGGCCCTTGGTGCAGGTGCTGAGGGAGAATTCGGTGGCATCAGATGGAGGACTGGGCTCTGGGTTTCTCCTGGGGGCTCAGAGGAGTCAGAAACGTGGTGGGAAGGCAGGTGAGGGGACTGAGGTGGCAGAAGTGGGGTGCTGTGGGGCACAGCTGAGAGGGGTGAGAGACGCAGTGGGAAGGCAGGTGAGGGGCCTGAGGTGGCAGTAGCAGGGGGCTGCCTGGCTGGGTGCCAGATGGGGGAACCCCGAGGGAGCGTGAGAGGGTGTCCAAGACTGTGGGAGACCCCAGCTGCTGAGCAGAGAACATGTAGACGCGGCACCAATAAAATCTTTTCTTTCTCTCTCTCTCTTCTTTTTTTCTTTCTTGTCCGGTGGTGTCGGCCTCTCCCAAGCTGCACACACCCAGGCCACAAGGCCGCACCTGCCCTCCTCCTTGGGACACCCCCACCCACACCCTGGCTTGTGCCCTTCACACTTGCTGACCGGTGACCCTCTTGCCCTCTGACCTCACATACTCTGACCCTGCTAACCTTGCTCTGTCCTCCGACCTTCACACCCATGCCACCCTCCCACTCCCAGGAACGCCCCAAGTCTCCTCCCCGACTCCTGGCTGGCTGAGCTGAGGGCCAACCCTGTGGATGGCCAGGGCCTCCCTGACCTGTGACCTGGCCTCTCCAGCCAGGGTGTCCTTGGGATGGGGCCCCTTCCTCACCCCAGCTGCTGGCGCTGAGGAGCCCAGGGCCCTGGAGACTCCCCCCACCTCACTGGGTTCAGACCCTGACTTGGACTTTGAAGTGGCTTAGGGGGTGGGTGTCATGGAGGCCTGGCAAGGGTGGTCCTGAGAACCTGCCCTGCTGGGGCCATCAGATCCACTGCACAAGCCCGCCACTGGCCTCATGCCCTCCCAGCTGGGCGCACTTCTGGTGGGAGGAAGCCAAAGTCTCATCCCAGGGGTGGCTGCAGCCTGGGCCCTCGTTCCTCCTGGGGGGCTGGCCATCTAGGGGGAAGGCAGAGATGCATCAGCCTACGGGAGGCCACAGGCACCCTCCCTAGGAGGCAGGACTGTCACTCACCTGTCAGAGGCAGACGAGGTTCGGGTGAACCTTCCCTGGCAGAAGAGACCTGGGAACCCCAAACCACAAGTCTAAGAGGGGCACGGCCCCAGGCAAGCAGCTTGGAGGCAGCCTGTCCATGCGCAGTGCTGGACCCTGCATCACCCACATGACCCCTGCTCTCCCTTCCTGGCCCTGTCTGCCTGCCTCCCTGCTGGCTGCCCTGGTCTCCAGCTGCCCCTGCCCTCCTGTTTCCCTCCCTGTTCCCTTAGAGTCCCAGGAGGCCCCCACACCAGCCCCCCCAGCACCCCCAGAGCCCACGGCACACCGGCATGGGGGCTGCTACTCACGAGCTGAGGGGCGTCTGCGGGCTGCGGCCCTGCACCCTTGGCTGAGCCTCGGTGTCTCTGAGAGGCTCTGGACTGCAAGGCTCCCTTCTTGGAGAGCAAGTGGGGCCCAGTGGGGCAGGGGGAGCTGGAGCCAGGGTCAGAGACAGGCACAGATGTGGGCAACAAGGGGAGCGGGCTCAAGGGCACAGGTCCAGGTGAGCTCTGCGTGGCGCTGAGGAACTGCAGGGAGGGCCTGGGCTGGAACCTTGATGGCACCAGGGACCCCAGCAACGAAACTCAACCTCCCAGCACAGTCAGAACAGACCTCAGGCTTTGGGCAGCCCCGGACCCCAGGGCGAGATTCATGGGCTAGACCTCCTTAGACCCCGAACCTTGGGGTGCAGGTACCTCCCGACCTCAGGTGGCCGCACATCCCACCCTTTCTTTGGCTCAGCAAGGGACTGACCTCCTCCAGGCCCTGGACATCTGTGATTCTGCAGTGGGAGGTGGCCGGTGGGGTGTAGGGGTCGGCATAGAGGGGCGAGTGTGGTGTTTCTGTGTGGCCAGCGGCCTCTGAGCTGCCCTCCAGGCTCAGCCTGTTCAGCTGCAGGGGAGAGGTGGGAGAGGTGTGTTCCTCAGCTCGAAGCAGCCTAACTCTTTCCTTCTCTGAGATGAGGAGTGGTGGGAGCCAGGCCAGGGCCCATACTCCCACCCCGGTGTGCCAGGCCCACCTGTGTCAGGTCCAGGTGCAGTGGTATGGCAGGGCCTTGGCCCTCTGCCCGGGCTTTGCTCCTGGGTGACCGGCTGCTGCCTCTGCGCCTCAGCTCTGTCCTCCGTTGGCAGATGCTGGTGGGGTCAGAGTTGGCCTGGTCCTGTGAGGACCACAGACCTTCCAGAAAGAGCCTCTGGGGCCCTCTCCATGCAATTCCCTGAGGCTGCCAGGGGCTCCCTCCAGTCTTAGTCCCCTGAGGAAACAGGGTCCCCAACACATGCTTACCCAATGGCCTTCTGCCCGCTTCTGTCTGCCACCCCCCAGATACTCACCAGTGTGTACAGGGAGGGAGAGCCCACAGTGGGTGGCACTGAGGACTCAGGCAGGGAGTGGCTGGTGCGGGTGGACGGGGGCGCCAGGCACTCCAAGTCCCAGCTGGTCAGTCCACCTGAGGAGAGTGAGCCTCGGCCGCTGCCCATCGCCTGGGTGGGCAGTGAGTGGGGGTGAGTGAGGACTGGACCCCTCCCTACCTGTCCCCTGCCTGGACCCCTCCCCACTTGCCCCCCCTTCCTGGACCTCTCCCCACCTACCCCCCTGGCTGGACCCACCCTCTCCCACTTACCCCCCTGCCTGCACCCACCCCCTCCCCACCTGCCTCCCTGCCTGGACCCACCCCCTCCCCACGTACCCCCATAGCTGGACCCATCCCCTCCCCACTTACCCCCCTGCCTGGATCCACCCCCTCCCCACCTGACTCCTGCCTGGACCCACCCCCTCCCCACCTGCCTCCTGCCTGGACCCACCCCCTCCCCACCTGCCCCCTTCCTGGACCCACCTTGCTGCCCCCCTTTTTTTGTGGAGTCTCATTCTGTGACCCAGGCTGGAGTGCAATGGCACAATCTTCACTCACTGCAATCTCCGCCTCCCGGGTTCAAGTGATTCTCCTGCCTCAGCCTGCCGAGTAGCTGGGACTACAGGCATGTACCACCAGACCTGGCTAATTTCTTTGCATTTTTAGTAGAGATGGGGTTTCAGGCTGGTCTTGAACTCCTAACCTCAAATGATCCGCTCACCTCAGCCTCTCAGAGCGCTGGGATTACAGGCATGAACCACTGCGTGTGGCCTGCTGCCCCATTTTTACCACTGCCCAGGATCTGGGCTGTGGGTGCTGCTGACCTCTCACCTGCATTCCCAGGAAGCTCTCGGTGCCAGGCAGCTGCCGGGCCCCCTCCCTGTGGGTGACGTCGCGGAGGCAGAGCAGCCAGTGGCTGTAGTCCTCATAGCTGGAGCATACCACTCGGATGGTATTGATGAGGGGACCTGGCACACAGACGCTGTGAGGGGCTGGCAGGGTGGGGTGCACCCCTCAGTGCCCCCACTAGAGAACTGGGGCATCCACCAGGCTCCCGCCCCCACCCTGGCCTGGCCAGCAGGAGGCAGACTAGGGGGCAGGGCCCACCTTCGATTAGGAAGGATCGGATCTCCTTCTCCTTCTCCTCCAGGTTGATGTGGATGGCGCGGAGTGGGAGCTCCCCCTTTGGGGGCAGAATGAGAGCCAGGCCTTTGTAGGGCAGCCCCTGGGCCCCCGCCTGGTCTCATCCCACCCTCTTGCCCACAAGAGCTTGGCTGGGCACTTGGAGAGCCAGGACTGAGGCCACCACCCTGGGAGAGGCCAGTGGGTCCCATCTGTCCTGGGGCTACCACCAGCCCTCAGGGGGCCTTCGCCAGCTGGTACTTAACAGACGAAGCCACAGGACTGGGCTTCTAGAGTCCCTGGAGCAGTTGCGGTGGGGGTGACCTTCAGTCCTTCCTCGGTGACTGAAGGTCACTGTGCGTGCACCCCATACTCCCACCCCGGAGGGCACGCACACACGTGAACACACAGCCCTCACACACCAGGGCACGCACCAGACCGTCCCAGGAGTAGCTATCACTCCCATGCTGCCCGACCCAGGGTGACAGTCGGCTGGGACTGAGAACCTCAGGATGGGCTGGGATGCAGGGCAGGGGCTCCACGTCATGGTGGAGACCAGACTGACCAGGACAGCGGGCCGGGTGGGCAGGGCCCCATGCTCTGTCTCAACAGGCCCCGAAATACAGGTTCCTCCTGCATGGCCGCCCCCTCCCACCCCCACACAGGTGCCTCCCTGGGGCGGGTCCACAGTGGGGAGGGGCCCACCTTGAAGCAAAGCCCATCCGGCTCCTCAGAGAAAATGGCCAGGGACGTTGGGTACAGGACCAAGAGCCGGTCCCATTGCTCCTGAGTTGGGGATCAAACAAGGGGGAGCTGAGCTGCTGGGAACCCAGGGCTGGCCCCCCACCCTGCACCCCTCCTGTCCCCTGACAGCCCCACCTCCCACCCACCTGTGCAGGCAGGTGCTGGAGCTTGACCCTTGAGGCACAGATGGCGCTGCCGCCAGGTTCGTGCCCTGATGCTGTCCGCAGCCGGGTGAGACGGCGCTGGAGAGTCCAGGGTAGCTCCTCTCCAGGGGGCCCCTGTGAGGAGGTGGTCAGAGCAGGCTGCGAGGATCAGGGTGGGGAGGGTGGTGGGGTCCCTGGCACTGACCTGTGGGGGTGCTGAGTGGCAGCGCCGGAGCCCCCCGAGGAGGGCCATCTGCTTTTCCATGTGGTAGAGCCAGCAGTTCAGCTCGGCCCGGCCGGGGCAGAGCACCAGGAGGGGTGCGGGTAGTGGGCCTGTGGGAGGGGCAGAGAGGGCACAGGTATGCACACACACTCAGCAGCAGGCAGGCAGGCTCCTCTCTAAGGCCTGGTCAGGGGTGCGTCTGGGGGCCCGGTCAGCATCCCACACACCTGTGATCTGGAAGCCGTGCTCTCGGGAGCCCTTGAGCGCACAGACGCTCAGCTCCGTCAGTGGTAACAGCCCCTGCCGGGCACAGGATAACAGGGCCTTCAGGGATTCAGGGAGAGATCATGCCCCCCCACCCCTGCTGCCCACCACCTCACCTGTAATGTGAGTCCTTCAGAGCCATGGGCCTGGAAGTAGAGGTGGGCGGGGAACAGCTCCAGGTAGCAGTCACTGACATCCTGTGCAGGGAGCAGGGTGGTCAGTGGAGGGTCTGGGGAGCAGGCCCCAGGTTGGTGCGGATGCTGGATGCTGAGCGCGCCCACCCACGTGGCCACACCTGGCTGTGCAGGAACCGCAGCTGGACCTTGGCGTAGTGCACCACCTTTCCCAGGTTCCTCACAGGCACCCTCCGCTGCCCCTTCTTGAACACACTCAGGAATGGCTGCTCCGCGTTTTCTCGCTGATTCTCCAGGTCCAGGATGTCCTAGAAGGCACAGAACTCAGGGGAGGGTCCTGGGCTGGGCGCTCCACACCCTCATCAATGTCCACACAGCTATATGCCAACAGGCAGAGTCTGCACGGCCAGACAACACCTATGCAAAGAACGCAGCCTCACGTGCACAGAGCCCTGCATGCTCACAGCCCCTCCACAGGAAGAATCACAGCAGAATTTACACACATACATGCATAAATACATGCACATATGCCCACACACATACACACATGTGCACATACACAATACATGCTCATACAAGCACACACATATGCATGCATACACATGCACACAGAGACATACATCACACGTGCACACACAAATGACACAAATAGACACGTGCATACACAGTATACATCAACGCACAACTACACACATGTATGCATGCACAAACATGCACACACATACACGGGGCACATGTATGCAAACATACATGTGCAGATGTGCATACACACACATAAACATTTTTGCACACATACATTCACATACATGCATACGCACATACACACACACAGACACTCTTCCCCACACAGAGCTGCCTGGTGGAGATGAGATTGAGATGTGGACTCAGTGGATTAAACCGTATCTTCACTCTTTCCTAAGACGTGTAATATGGCTGTGGTTATTCAACCTCTGAAGACTGGTTAAAAGAATTTGGGGGTGTGTGGGGGAAGTAACACCTAAAACTCTCTCGTGTCTGCAGTATTGGCCGGTAAATGTTTAGCACCTGGTTTTACAAACACACACGCACACCAAGGACCTGATTGATAACGCTTGCCAATTTCCTCAGTGTAAATGTCCCCACTGCCAGCCATTTCCAGCCCCCAGCCTGAGAGAAAGATATGAGGAGATTTCTGGAATCCATCCCCTGGGCGTGTGCCGGCCGCTCCCCAAGCTTCACTCGGGTGACAGCCAGGTCTTGGCAGTGCCCCAAGGGGTCTCCGTAGCTGCCTCTGCCTCACTGTCTCCTCACCTCAGGCCCAAGCTCTTCGGGACCACTCAGCCCTCACCCTAACCCTTACCCACTTTACAGCTTTGCTCTAACCTCACCTGTTCTAAGAGGCCCTTTTCTGAAAGTCCTAAAATTCCAGCCTTCCCGAGCCTCTGCACCTGGCCCCTCTATTTTTCTCCTTAGCGCCAACCCCACCCCACTTGCGGTATCTTCTATTTGTCCCATCACGTGTCTGCTGTGGGAATGAGAGCACCAGAAGAACAGGGGTTTCTGTCTCGTTCACTGCTGTGTCCCCAGAGCCTAAGATGGGGCCTGGGATGTGCTGTGGGCACCCACAGGGTGCTGACAGGGACGGAGGAATCTATATTCACCCACATTCAGCCAGTCCTGGCACACAGTCCTCTACAGATGGAGGCTGGAATCACCAACTTAGGGATCGGAAAGGGCATGGGCTTGAACCTGGGGCTGGAGAGCTTTGTGACCTATCCACAGGCTCAGGGGCAAGTGGGTAGGTGTCCTGCTCCCTCTAGGAGCTGCTAAGGGCTACCTGTAGGGCTGCTGTGCCCTGGCCAAGCTTAGCTGCCCCTGAGCAGGCCCAGGAATGTGAAGGGACAGATGCGTGGCTTCCCCGGCCTCCTGCCTCTGGGTGGGGCCTCCTGTGCCCACACCCAGCATGGGAACTGATGCCGGGCTGGCACCCATGAAAAACAGGCCACAAATCAGGAAGGGCCACACAGCTGGTCCTGCAGCCCAGCTCAGCCTTGGGGCCCTGAGGAGGACGCAGCCTGGAGCAGTGGCAGGGCCAGTTCACAGCACGGGTGCAGAGCCCAGGCACAGGGTGGAGGTGAATGGCTCTAGGACAAACCCAAAACTCCTCCCCCAGCCCCATCTTCTGAGATTCAGCAGGTTTTTCCCTCTCCGGCTACCATGTCCTGGCAAGGGAGGACCACCAGGGTCACCATACCTCATAGGACCCTACCAGGGTCACACTGCACATCCTGGGCTTGGACAGAGAGAGTGTGGTGGCTCAGATGCAGCCAGAGACCCCCTACCCCTGACCCAGCCCGGCTCTGCTCCCTGCCCACGCCTCTGAGATAGCATGTTTCTGAAGCCTGCCCCTATCTGCAGGGTGCCCTGAAACTCGGGGGGTCAGGAGAGGCTACGGCACAAGCTTCCTGCCTGGTGGGCCATGGTGGGAAGGGATCTGTACAGTGCAGGGCAGAGGTCCTCCCCCTAGATCCCCCTGGGGCCCATATAGCAGAGCCCACCCATCCAGGTTGCCCGAGGGGGCTGCAGTGGGAATTCCTGTCTGCCCTGAAGCCCAGATTCCTCCTCCTGTTCCCTCAACCCAGCACCGGCCGCGTCTCAAAGGGGCTGGGTGTCTCTATCCTGTGAAGACCCTCAGTACCCCGGGCCCCGCAGGGTGGGTGTGGGCCGTTTACACTCCTTCCATGGCGAGGTGGCCGCGTGTGGGCCAGGGAAATACCTCCTTGCTGCGAGGATTTGGCAGGCTGGGAGGAGGCCTGAGCAGTGCGCACAGTTGCTGTGGACCAGGCGGCCAGCCAGCAGCAACTTCCTGCGAGACGCCGGTGGGGAAACTGAGGCCGGCGTAGGTGACCGGAGGGCTCACTGCTCTTCTGAGGCCTCTTACTCCCCATGGACGCTACCAGCACGACCCCAGCCCCACTGCAACAGCCGAGATGTGCGTGCTGGTACCCCGCCCGGCCCGCCCCGCCCCGCCCAGCGCGCTCCGACTGACTCAGTCCCGCGTCTCGGTTTCGCTCTCCGCTCAGACTTTCGGCCGGATGAACTCCCCGGGGCGGGGCTGCTCCTCACCTGGGGGGGTCTGACTCCCCCGAGCCGGGCCGAGGGAGGCGCGGCGCACATGCACAGGCAGAGCCGTTCCCCGCCCGCCGCTCACCATGCCCGGGATGTAGTGGAAGAGCTTGTCGGCGGCGGTGTCCCCGCTCCCAGCGGCCTCGGGGCCCAGCAGAATGGCCGGCTTCCGCGCACTGTCCTCTCTGGGGACGAGGGAAGGGCTCACGGGCTGGACCCGGAGCAGGCGGAGGAGCCCCGCGCCCAGGTGGCCGCGCCCATGCCCCTCACCTGTTTCCCTTCAGCGAGGGCTTCCTGGAGAAGGAGGCCCGGAGCCTTCTGGGGGCCTGCGGGACGCAGTGGCTGTTCCCCATGGCCGAGTCACAGGTTGGCAGGTCTGGGTCCCCTTCCACAGCCTTCTGCTGCCGCCTCCCTGGGGCAGGCGGGGCTGTGGGACGTCCCACCTGGCACTGAGGGCTGGGCCAGGGTGGAGCCTTTCTGGAAGGGGCCTGGCCCTACCTGAGCCATCCGGGTCTCTGCCCTGGGCCCACCACACCGAGAGGCCAGCCTTGGGGCGAGCACCCCTCTGGCCCAGACAAGGCCTCCAGTGTGCAGGGAGTCCCCACTTGCCTGTGCTTGGCTTGGCGAACCCTGGCTGCCCCCAAGAACCATGTGGGCACACATCCCATTTCCATCTACACCCTGGCAGGCCTGAGTCACCCCAGCCTCTCCTCCTGTGTGGCCTCCTCACCACAGGCCTGAGGAAGGATCCCCAAGGTTTAAGGAGACCCAGAAGGCCACATGCTCCCTAGGCAGCCAGGACAGTTGGGGTACACGGGGGCAACGCTGTTCTGCCTGGCCCCACCCCCAGACCTCGGCCTCAGGACCCAGCCCTGGCAAACCCCACTCACAGCTGGGGACTGGCCACAAGGACTCCATGGCCCCAACCCACCCCCCCACCATGCACAGCTCTACCTTTCAGCCCTCAGAGGCTCACGCAGCAATTCAGACCCCACCCCCCACCCCAACAGGACCCAAGTTGTGCAGGTGCCCCACAAGCCAGAGAGATGCTCGGCCTCAGGCCTGAGGAGCCCAGGAAATGTGTTTATTGTTCAAGTTGGCTTGTATTGCTGTGTAGGGTCCGTGTGCACGTGTGCACCCACTACAAGACCCAGGGAAGACAGCACGTGGCGTGGCAGACAGGACCCTGCTCCCATCCTTCCCAGGACCCCCATGTGCAAGTGAGGACCGTGTGCAACAGCTGAGTCTGCAGCTGCTTGGAAGGCCCCAGGACCTCGTGCTCCTCGGCCTGCAGGGTCTGAGCAGGCGGTGGCCCTGGGGCAACGAGTGGGTGGGAGGACACAGAGGACTAAACGCTCAAGGTGTAAAGGAGCGGCTGCAGCACCACTCAGCCCTCAATAAATAAATAAACAACTAAACACAGACAAAAAGGAATGGTCGGAAGATGCGAACAGATGGTGCAGGGCGTCCCTGGTGGGGGCCATGGCCCCCTTAAGGCATGTGGGAGGCTGCGGGACTCTGGCAGTGGCTGGGTCAGAGGCTGGTGGAGGACACGGAGAGCGTGGGCGAGGATGGTGGCGGAAAGTTGAGCAGCTCCAGCACCGCGACGCCCACGCTGCTGCGCCGGGTGAACATGCAGGAGGCAGCCACCCACTTGTTGGTCCTCGGGTTGTACTTCTCGATGGAGTTGAGGCTGGAGCTGCCATCGTTGCCCCCGACTGCGTACAGCCATCCATCCATGGCCACCAGGTCGTGTGTGCTCCTGGAGGGCAGGCGGGGTGAGACCCAGGAGGCAGGAAGGGATGAGGGGGAGGGGTCGCACCATGAGAAGGGGCGGGGCGGGGCGAGGTGAGAACCCCTCCCTGCAGGACGCCCGGCTGCGGACCTGCGGATGTTCATGGGCGCCACACTCTCCCAGGCGCCGGCCTTGGGGCTGTATCTCTCCACTGAATTGAGGCAGCTGGTGCCATCGTTGCCCCCTGCCACGTACAGGGCACCCTCCAGCACAGCCACACCTGCTGAGCTGCGCCGGCTCAGCATGGACGCCACAGGCGACCACACGTTCACCTGGGGGTGAGGGAGCGGGCTGGAGGCAGACCCGCCATGGGCTTCCATCCCCTGCTGCAGCCCCTACTCCAAGGGTGGGTATCAGGGATGGGTGGGATGTGGGTGACTGCAGGGCAGACAGCCCGCAACACCCGGAAGGGGGGGCCGGGAGGGGTGCGTTATGCACCTGGGGCTCGTACTTCTCCACAGTGGCCAGATGTGAGGAGCTGTCGTAGCCGCCCACGGCGTACAGGTTCCCATCTGCAGGAAGCCAGCACACCCATGGCATTCCTGCTGTGAGTGGGGTCTCCAGGGTGGGGGAAGATGGGGATGCCCCCAAGGCAGACCCCATCACCCACCGAGCGTGGCCACACGCACATAGCGTCTCCGGGTGCTCATGGCAGCAACGGATGTCCACGCTCCAGTCAGGGGGTCGTAGCGCTCGGCACTGTGGGCACCACGACCCACCGCAGCTCAGAAGACACGGAAGGTGCCCCAGCCCCAGGACCTGCCCTCCCCAGCGCTGGAGACAAACTACTCCCAGACAGGCAAGGCCCGCCGGTGGACACAGGCCCTAAGCTGCCTGGACAACCCTGGTGTGCACCCGCCTGGGCCCAGCCTCTGGACTGGGGGTGAGGACCCTAGAGAAGAAAGGGCACTGGCCTAGCAAAGCCAGGAGCTCAGTGTGTGGCCTGGGATGAAGAGACTGCACGGATCCCCTTTAGCGGCCACAGTCAGACGCAACCTGGGTGATGGTGACGTAGCCTCGCCTCGTGCAGTCGGACCCTGTAAAGCCACCGGGTCCCCAACTACTACCTGTTCAGGCAGGAGGCCCCGTCATAGCCGCCAGCCGAGTACAGGAGCCCATGCAGGGCGGCCACACCCAGGCAGCTTCGCCTCGTGCCCATGGACACCTCCGGCTGCCACGTGTTAGTCACGGGGTCGTAGGACTCCACGGTAGCCAGGTCTGAGGTCCCGTCGTAGCTAGCACAACAGACCCACACAGGTCAAGACTGGCCTATCACGTAAGCGCCAGACCCCTGACCCAAGTCCTGCCTCCAGGCTTACCCGCCCACAGCATACAGCCGGTTCCCCACGGCAGCCACGCCCACCCGGGCCCTGCGCGTGGACATGGAGGCCACCATGTGCCAGCGGTCGGTGCGCGTGTCGTAGGCCTCACAGTCTCCGTGGATGGCAAACAGGCTCCCACCGCCTGGCAAAGACAGGTGGAGACAAGACTTGTAAGGGGACCCACTGATGGGCTACACTTCGGGCTCCTGGGGAGGCCCCTGGATGGAGGAGTGGAGGAACAGCTCAGGCCCTGACCCGCACACATGGAGAGGGTGGGTGCTGGTAAGCCTGGAAGGCACAAGGCAGGAGGGAAAGAGGCGGAGCCGTACCCACGGCGAAGAGCACTGGGCCGGCCCCCTCACAGCGCCGGGGCCGAGTGCGGCTGGTGCCCAGGACGCCCCTCTGCTCCGGCAGTAGGTGAAACTTCAGAGCCTCGATGAGGAGGTCCTTGCAGTCGGGGTGGTGCCTCACCAGGCTCTCGGCATCCACGTGGCCCAGCAGGAAGTCACGGCTCAGCAGAGGCAGCCGCACACACTTCATGAGCTGGGGCGCCGGAGGTGCCAAGGTCAGGCAGGACCCTTGGGTACACTTGGCCCCAGGATTGAGACCCCCCCAGATGCCCATACCACCTGTGACCAATTCTTCAGACAAGTGCGGGCACCACCCCCAAGGAGTCCCTGCACCCGAGGAAGGTCAAGGCACACCAGACCCTTGGCCACCTGTACGCCTTCACAGACACTATGGGAGCCCCCGGGGCTGGGCCTCACCCGTGGGACATGCTGCCTGCGGGCGTCCACGTCGTGTTTCACCCAGCTCAGGACGGCGCGGTAGACCTCCTCCTCTGAAGGCACGTTCAAGCTGTCACTAGATACCAGTTCCAGCACCTGGAGATGAGGGTCCCCAGGCCTGAGATCTGGGGAGGGTCCTGTGGGCCCAGGGAGCCCTGAAGATGCGTAGGAGGGAGGGTCAGGGGGTGGGGACTGAGTGCTTACACTGGGAGGGGCCGAGCAGAGTCAGGAGCCACAGAAATGGCTCTACCCAGACAGGACTTGGGGGGGCCTCTACCCAGACAGGACTTGGGCGCATACAGCAGGCACTAAGGGTGGCAGGCAGGGCTGCGTTACGGACAAAACGGGGTCAGCAGTCAAAGGCAAAGACTTGGGTGGGGTCAGGCTGACAGTGAGGGCTGGGCCGCTGTTACCTGTTTCAGGGGCAGCAGCATGAACTCCTCGGTCTTGGCCACGTCCACGAAGTGCTGCAGCACGTACCTGTGGGCCGCCTTGAGCAGGTCACTGCAGGAGTGCGCATCGGCAAAGCCCCGGATGCCCAGGCAGTTGGAGGGGTCCAGCTGACTCAGCAGGAACTTGCAGCAGGCGTCTCGGACACCGTTCAGCTGCAGCAGGCTGGCGGCTGGAAGCAGCGTCTGCGCAGCAGGGAGATGCGGGTGAGAGAGACACAGGGTCGGGGACAGGAGGATCGGGTGCGAGGCCTCTGCAAGGCCCTAGTGAGGCAGCCTCACCTGCACGTTGCCCTCGCCCACCACGATCTCAGCCGTGTACGCAAACTGCACCAGCTGGTCCAAGGCCTGAGGGTCGATGTCATGCAGCGTCACATGAGTCTGGCGGCTCTCGCTCATCTCATCTGTGGGGACAGAGGATCAGAGGGGCCGACCCCAAGGGGCCCACGGAGCGCATAGCGCCGTGCAGGCCGCGCAGGACGGTACTTGCTTGTGAACATGGCGTGGAAGTACGGGCTGCAGGAGGCCAGCACCACTTTGTGCGCGCGGATCTCCTTGGCGGCCACGTGCAGGACGATGTCGCACAGGAGGCCGCGCTGGCGCATGCGGCTCATGGCTACGAAGGCGTCGTGGTAGTGTCGCTTGGAGTTGTGGGCCACGCTGTGGCCCTCGCGGCTCAGCAGCTGCACGGCTCCCTCCATGGGGGCTGCTGGCCGCGCCGGCCGGGGCCGCGCGCGCTCCGCCTCAGGGCTGCGGGGGGCGGGTGGGCGGCTCAGGCTTCGCCCCTCCGGAGCCTCTGGGCCGGACCTGGGCAGCCCGCGGGGACACTGCCCCAGGTGCGGCGGGGGCGCCGGCAACCCTCGCCCGACCCCAGCCCAGGACCCCGCCCCGTACGCCCCGCGCCGAGTCCAGGCCTGCGCTGCGCCCCTGCTCCCCCGGGCGTCGCCAGAGCCGCGAGCACAGCCCCGCGCTCCACCCCGCTCCCCGGCGGGCGCCGCTACGAGCTCGGCTCCCCCGCGTCCCAGGCCGCCCTCTAGGGCCCGCAGCGGGAGCCACGTCCTCCGCGCACGGGGAGCGGGTGGAGCTGCCGCGCCGGGGCGACCCCGCTCAGCACCCGAGTCCCGACCTCCCCGAGCCCTCGGCGCGGCCCCAGCCTCTTCTGCGGCGGACGCGAGGGCGGGGGCCGGGCAGGTCCCGAGGCCGCCCCACGCACACTCACGCCGTCTGCTGCGGCTGCGGCGGTGGCGGCGGCGGCGCCTCCGGCCCGGGTCCCGGGCTGCCGTGCTCCGGGCTCTGCGTTCTGCCAGCCGGGCGCTCGCTGCGGGGCTGCATTCGGCCGCCGGACCCGCCGCGGATTCGCGGAGAACGCGCAGGCGGACAGACGCGGGGACGACCGGAGGGCTGCTCGGCGGTGGCGGCCCGCTAAGCGTCGCTTCCGCGGCTCCAGCCAGCAGCCGCTGTTTCTCGGCGCCGCCCGCCCCGCCTCCCGAGAGGCTGGTGGTACTCGATGTTAGACGCCAATCCTCCGAGCGCCGCGCCTGGGGTCCGCCTCCTCCGGCTAGAAGCACCCCCCCAGGCGCTGCCCTCCTCCGAGAAGCCCCGCCAGGCGCCGCCCTCCTCGCAAGAGAAGACCCCTCCCAGGCCCCGCCCTCCTCCCGGGAGAAGCCGCCCTCAGGCCCCGCCCTCCTCCCAGGAGAATCCCCCCCCAGGCCCCGCCCTCCTCGGAGAAGCCCCCCAGGAACCGCCCTCCTTCTCCGAGAAATCCCCAGGCCTCGCTCTCCTCCTCCTCCTCCTCCTCCGAGAAGTCCCCCAGGCCCGGCCCTCCTCCAAGAAGCCCCCTAGGCCCCGCACTCCTCCCCCGGAGAAGTTCCTCAGGCCCCGCCCTCCTCCTTCGAGAGGCTCCCCCCCCCGGCCCCGCCCTCCTCCCCGAGAAGCCGCCCTCTCTCAGGCGCGCCCTCCTCCTCCCCGGAAAAGTCCCTAGGTCCGGTCCTCCTCGGGGAAGCCCCCGCAGGCCCCGCCCACCCCCTCGGAGAAGCACCCCCCCAGGCCCCGCCCTCCACCTACTCTTCTGCGAAGCCCCCCTCCCCCAACCCCCTAACTCCCTCCTCCCGGGAGCCCCGGGGTCCCGAGCGCAGAGCCTGGGCCCAAGCTGGAGTCCCGGCCACTCTGCCCGCATCCGCCTCAGGCGCCCCTGCAGGGCTAGGGTTGGGGGAGCCGCGCCCGCGCCCGTGCGCCCCTGTCGCAAGGTCTGGCTGCCGGGGCCCGCGGGTTTCAGGCTGGCAGCGGAGAAGGAAGTAGCGGCCTCGCCACCGTCTTCGTCCCGTGCGGCGTCCCGGGGCAGGGCCGCGGAAGAGAGGCCGTCGGCGCCCAACGGGCCCTAGAATGGGAGCGCCCTGCGTGGTGGACACAGCAATGGCCGGGGCTCCGCGGGTCCGGCGAGGCCAGCCTGGGCCTCGGGCCGCTGCCTCGTGTCGAGCCGTCGGCATCAGTGCAGTCTCCACCGACCCTCGTATTTCCTACTGGACTTACTGTTGATTTGTGGTAGCTCTTTACATAGGGGCTCCGCCGTCGCAGTCTGGCATCTTCGCAGGCGCGCGCCCTCGGAGCCCCGGCTGGGCTGCGGGAGCGGCGGGGGTCCCGACCTCGCTTCCCGGTGGTAGAGGGGAGCACGGGTGTCACCGCGTCCTAGGGAGCCGGGCGCTGAGTCCGCACCTCGCAAGCGAACGCGCCCGCCCGCCCCGAGGCCGGCTGCGCAGCGGTCGGAGAACCGTAAAGCCACTCGGCTGGGCGGGGAGGGGCGGGGAACGGGGCGTGGCCTGCTCGGCGGAAGTGCGTGCATGCGCGGTATTCTGGGACCGGAAGTGGGGCGCACGCCGCGGTCTGGTGTCATGGCGTCTGTCAAGCGCCGCAAGAGGTAAGCCTTGGGTCCGAGGGCCGGTTCGGCCTTCCGGTGGGTGTCTGCATCCAAGAGAGGTCTTCTTGCTCCTCTCGGCGGATCTGGGACCAGCTGGGTCTGCGGGCAGCTGTGACTTGCGTAACCCGCAGGCGTCTGGCGGAGCTGACGGTGGACGAGTTCCTAGCCTCGGGCTTTGACACCGAGTCCGAGTCCGAGTCCGAAAATACCCCAGAAGCGGAGACGCGGGAGGCGCGCGAGGCTGCGTGGAGTCCGGATGAGCCGGGCGGGAGCCCATCGGCAAGGTGAGCGGGGACGTGCGTGAGCAGAGCCCCCTTGCTAGCCCTGTGGTCCACCCCGCCATGAGGTCTCAGGGCCGAGGCATAAGGACCTCGACCACCACCCTCCCGTCCCTTCGGCCTAATCTGTTCTTTCATCTGATGTTTACTGAGCTGCTCGGCGCCAAACCCTGTCCTAGGGAGTGTGGGTGTGAGATGGTGAGTTCTGCAGAAGTCCCTTCCCGATCTAGGAGAGCTCTCGCGGTCTTGGGTAAATGACTGCGTGCACTGCAGTAGAAGAGAGATAAGTGCTGGCGAGGGAAAGGAAAGAGAGAGGGGCTGGCGAGAGAGTTGCATAGGAACCGAGTTGCTCTATCAGAAGGAGCGGCGGCTGGGCGTGGTGGCTCACCCCTGTAATCCCAGCCTTAGGAGTTCCAAGACTAGCCTGACCAACATGGCGAAACACCATGTCTACTAAAAGTACAGAAGTTAGCCGGGCGTGGCGGTGGGCGCCTGTAATCCCAACCACTCGGGGGGCTGAGGCAGGAGCAGCGCTTGAACCCGGGAGGTGGAGGTTGCAGGGAGCCGAGATCGCGCCATTGCACTCCATCCAGCCTGGGCGACAGCGAGACTTCGTCTCAAAAAAGAAAGAAAAAAAAGTAGCCGGGTGTGGTGGCACACGCCTGTAATCCCAACTGTTCTGGAGGAACATCATTTAAATGTGTGAGGCGGTGGTTGCGTTGAGCAGAGAGCAGAGATCACACAACTGCATTCTATCCTGGGTGACAGAGTGAGACTTTGTCTCGGGAGAAAAAAAAACGGGGGTGAGGCAGATGTGGCCGATTGAGAAGACCATGTCTGCGTAAAGACGGGGATTGAGGAAGCCACGCAGACAGTAGGGGGAAGCGTGTCCGGGGATTTCAGGTAACAGGAACAGCGAAGGCCTTGTGGTGAGAGCATTTGAGGACAGTGCAGAGGTGAATGTGGCTGTGACAGAGTGAGCCCAGGACAGCAAAGAACCAGGTGCCCTAGACTTATAAGATTACTGTGTAAAACAGGAAGTTACTTCCAGGTTTGAGCAGTATACTGCCTTGTAGGTGGCAAGGGTGGAAACGGAGAGACTTTTTTGTTTGAGGTAGGGTTTCGCTCTGTTACCCAGGTTGGACTGAAGTGGCGGAATCTGAACTCACTGCACCCTCCGCCTCCCGGGTTCAGGTGATGCTCCTGCCTCAGCCTCCCAAGTAGCTGGGATTACAGGCATGCACCATTACCCCCATCTAACTTTGTGTTTTTAACAGAGATGTGGATTTTCCATGTTGGTCAGGTTGGTCTCAAACTCCTGACTTAAGGTGATCTGCCCGCTTCAGTCTTTCAAAGTCCTGGAATTACAGGTATGAGTCACTGTACCCAGCAGGAGAGATCTTTATGTTAACTGAGAGTTGAGCTAGGTGGTGTTTTGAGAAGAGGCAAGAACAGTTTTGAGAATACTGCTGGCCGTGTGCAGTGGCTCAAGCCTGTAATCCCAGCACTTTGGGAGACTGAGGTGGGTCAGGTGGGCGGATCACCAGGTCAAGCGATTGAGAATGTTGCTGATGAGATGTGATGACAGGCTGCATGCCGGGTATTAGAGACAGAGATTTGTTCTTCATCTAAGCTCCTGAAGGGTGAAGTTACTAACAACTGAGGTGGAACATGGCACAGGAGTAGCCAGTCCAGGGAGACCAGGGCTGGGAGTCCTTTGTGTTGTGTCTGAGGATATGTTGTAGAGAGGCTGTCGGGTAGGAGAGATGACTACCTCCTGGTGATCCTCCTGCCTTGCTTGTTGGTAACTCTTGTGAAGGAAGCAGACGAACCCTCTAGGCCTCTCCTCATCCCCTCCACACCTCTCCCCGCCCCCTTCACTTCCACTTTCCTCTGGGGTTGCTGACTTCTGCCTTCTCAGCCAGCGTAAAGGCCGTGCCTCTGAGCACAAGGACCAGCTCTCTCGGCTGAAGGACAAAGACCCCGAGTTCTATAAGTTCCTGCAGGAGAACGACCAGAGCCTGCTAAATTTCAGCGACTCAGATAGTTCTGAAGAGGAAGAGGAGCCATTCCACTCCCTGCCAGATGTGCTGGAGGTGAGGGCCTGGACTGAACTGGGAGGGGGCAGTTGTAGCCTCTATACTGTCCTGTAGCTCAGCCTTTCTGTGCAGGAAGCCAGTGAGGAGGAGGATGGAGCAGAGGAGGGGGATGATGGAGAAACAGTCCCCAGAGGGCTGAAGGGGAAGAAGAATTCTGTTCCTGTGAGTCTCACCATGGTTGAGAGATGGAAACAGGCAGCAAAGGTGAGCAGCGGCAAGAGGGGGCAGCCAGGTCCCCCAGGCAGGAATCGGTCCTTGCCCCACTGGAGGGGCCTGAGGTTGTGCTGGTGGGAGGAGCCCTTGTCCAGCAGGGGACACGAGCCCCGTTCAGCACAAGTGATGACACGCCGATCTTCTTGCTTGGTTGCCCCAGCACCGTGTGCTCAGCTCTGGGCAGATTCCAGGGGCTCTGTTGGCTCTCCACTCCCCCAGGCAGTCCCACTGCAGGTGGGATGGACTCTCTCTACCTTTGTTGGTGGGTGGAGCTGGGATTCTTCAGAGTCTTTCACAGTGGTTTTTGCAGGGATCAGGATAGAGAGAGCTCCAGATACCACCTAAAGCTGGCCATAATCCGGGATCTGGAACCCTCATCCCTTTCCCTGGGGCTCCTGAGCCAGACTCCCTACTCTTCCCGGAGGATTCTAGACTTTGTTTCCATTTTTGTTACCAGTATGGGGCTCTGTGGCCCCACCCCCACCTCTGCCCTGCATCTGAGGGTGAGGGTGAGGGTGAGGGTGCCTTCCTTTGGAGCCACGGTTTCCACTCCGCTGAATGCAGTCTCTGCTCCCCTGATGCCCCTGGTGCCTATTCTTACTCCTTCAGCAACGCCTCACTCCAAGGCTGTTCCATGAAGTGGCGCAGGCGTTCCGAGCAGCTGTGGCCACCACCCAGGGAGACCAGGAAAGTGCTGAGGCCAACAAATTCCAGGTCACAGACAGTGCTGGTGAGTGCTGGAAGAACCTGGCACTCATGTTCTCTACTGCCCTCTCTGTCCCATGAGTGCAGCTAGGCCCTTTTGTTGCAGTGTTCAATGCTCTGGTCACCTTCTGTGTGAGAGATCTCATTGGCTGTCTCCAGAAGCTCCTGTTTGGGAAGGTGTCAAAGGACAGCAGCAGGTGAGAGGGAAGGGGTGAAGGGGTGAAGGGGTGGGGTGGAAGGACAGCAGGTGAGAGGGAAGGGGTGAGTGGGTGGGGTGGAAGGACAGCTGCAGGTGAGAGGGAAGGGGTGAAGGGGTGGGGTGGAAGGACAGCAGGTGAGAGGGAAGGGGTGAGTGGGTGGGGTGGAAGGACAGCAGGTGAGAGGGAAGGGGTGAGGGGATGGGGTGGAAGGACAGTAGGTGAGAGGAAAGGGGGAGGGGGTGGGGTGGAAGGACAGCTGCAGGTGAGAGGGAAGGGGTGAGGGGGGTAGGTGGAAGGACAGCAGGTGAGAGGGAAGGGGTGAGGGGGTGGGGTAGAAGGACAGCAGGTGAGAGGGAAGGGGTGAGGGGATGGGATGGAAGGACAGTAGGTGAGAGGAATGGGGAAGGGGGTGGGGTGGAAGGACAGCTGCAGGTGAGAGGGAAGGGGTGAGGGGGGTAGGTGGAAGGACAGCAGGTGAGAGGGAAGGGGTGAGGGGTGGGGTGGAAGGACAGCAGGTGGGAGGGAAGGGGTGAGGAGGTGAGGTGGAAGGACAGCAGGTGGGAGGGAAGGGGTGAGGGGGTGAGGTGGAAGGACAGCTGTAGGTGAGAGGGAACGGGTGAGGGGGTGGGGTGGAAGGACAGCAGGTGAGAGGAAAGGGGTAAGGGGGTGGGGTGGAAGGACAGCAGGTGAGAGGAAAGGGGGAGGGGGTGGGGTGGAAGGACAGCTGTAGGTGAGAGGGAAGGGGTGAGGGGGTTAGGTGGAAGAACAGCAGATGAGGGAAGGGGTGAGGAGGTGAGGTGGAAGGACAGCAGGTAAGAGAGGTAAGGGGGTGGGGTGGAAGGACAGTAGGTGAGAGGAAAGGGGGAGGGGGTGGGGTGGAAGGACAGCAGGTGAGAGGAAAGGGGGAGGGGGTGGGGTGGAAGGACAGCTGTAGGTGAGAGGGAAGGGGTGAGGGGGTTAGGTGGAAGAACAGCAGATGAGGGAAGGGGTGAGGGGGGTAGGTGGAAGGACAGCAGGTAAGAGAGGTAAGGGGGTGGGGTGGAAGGACAGTAGGTGAGAGGAAAGGGGGAGGGGGTGGGGTGGAAGGACAGCAGGTGAGAGGAAAGGGGGAGGGGGTGGGGTGGAAGGACAGCTGCAGGTGAGAGGGAAGGGGTGAGGGGTAGGTGGAAGGACAGCAGGTGAGAGGGAAGGGGTGAGGGGGTGGGGTGGAAGGACAGCAGGTGAGAGGAAAGGGGGAGGGGGTGGGGTGGAAGGACAGCTGTAGGTGAGAGGGAAGGGGTGAGGGGGTGGGGTGGAAGGACAGCAGGTGAGAGGGAAGGGGTGAGGGGTGGGGTGGAAGGACAGCTGCAGGTGAGTGGGAAGGGGTGAGGGGGGTGAGTGGGAAGGGGTGAGGGGGGTGAGTGGGAAGGGGTGAGGGGGTAGGTGGAAGGACAGCAGGTGAGAGGGAAGGGGTGAGGGGGTGGGGTGGAAGGTGGGTCAGGACCACACATGGGAGAAGCCAGAGGCCTTGTGGCCAGGACAGAGCCAGACTTTTCTTAGGGACCCCAAGCAGGCAGAGGGGCACAAGGGATCCTTGGGATGAGTCTGGCACTGGGGACCAGTTGGATCCACCCTGCCTTCTTTCCTTCCTGAAAAGACACATTCTCTGCTCAGTCTCAGAAGGGTGGAGCGGGCAACTGCCTTTGCCATCAGATTTTCCCAGGTTAGGGTTCTTGTTCTCCCCCGCTTCATAAGGATGTGTAGGTTCTGTCCATGCTCCTTGGCGTCTCCACTGTGGCTGGCCTGTCTCCTGGAGCTGGGTGTGTCTGTAGACAGGAGCCTCATCAGTGCTGATGGCCTGAGCGCCTCAACTTCCCCATTAAAGGAAGATTGGGCAGAGAAGGCTGTGGAAGGTTTTAGAGAAGACAGATGCACAGCAGAACCTTGGGTAGAGCGTGGATCACGCTGTGGTCCCGGGTGGGGTGGGGGCTGCGCAACCATGTGACCTTGAAGCTGTGGAGGCCTGGAGTTGAACTTGCCCCACCCCAATACACCTTCCAAAGGAAAAAAGGAGACCCAAGGGAGAGGCCGCCCTGTCAGCATCTCGGGACAGGAACAGCGGCTTTGGGGGCACTGTTGCTGGTGGGTAGTGGTTGGGGCTGGACGGGTAGAGCTGAGCTGTGTCCACATGGAGGCGGTGGTGCCTGGAGGGGATGGGAAAACGGACAGGCAGTGATTGGGGGGCAGCAAGCACTGTAGCCTGAGCCGCCTTGTCCAGGCAGCGGCTGCACCAGAGGTGGCCAGGCCATGGGGGAGCAGCTGCAGGTGCCCAGCAGCCAGTATCAGTGCAGGTGTGAGGAGGGCTGGGGACAGGGGCCTGCACTTTGTCCTTCCATGCTTCTGCAGCTTTCACTGAGCACCTGCTATGTGGGTGAATGCCGAGGAGTAAATGTTTTTTTTTTTATGAGACAGGGTCTTGCTCTGTCCCCAGGGCGGAATGCAGTGGTGTGATCGTAGGTCACTGCAACACCTACTCCCTGGATTCAAGTGATTCTCCCACCTTATCCTCCTGAGTAACCGGTACTATGCCCCCAGGCCTGGATTATTTTTTTACTTTTTTTTTTTTTTTTTTTGAGATGGAGTCTATAGCCCACGCTGGAGTGCAGTGGCGCAATCTTGGCTCACTGCAGCCTCTGTCCCCCAGGTTCAGGCAGTTCTACCTCAGCCTCCCAAGTAGCTGGAATTACAGGCATGAGCCACCATGCCCAGCTAGTTTTTGTATTTTTCAGTAGAGACGGTTTCGCCATGTTGGCCAATCTGGGCTTAAACTCCTGACCTTGTGAGGCCCACCTCGGCCTCCCAAAGTGCTGGGATTACAGGTGTGAGCCACCTCGCCCAGTTGATTTTTTGTGTATTTTCATAGAGACAGGGTCTCCCTATGTTGCCCAGGCTGGTTTCAAACTCCTGGGCTTAAGTGATCTTCCTGCCTCGGCCTCCCAGAGTGCAGCGACCACTGGCATGAGCCTCCACACCTGGCCTCTGTTTTTTTCCTTTGTGCAGCAAATGTGGGCTGAAGAAAACTTCAGCCTGCAGCAGTTGGTGGTTCCTGGGTCAGACCCCAGAGGTGCTGAGTGCCAACTGTCGGGCTCAGGGGTCTCGTGGTCCCATGGTGGGGGTGTGACCAAGGGGACCTAGAAGAGGTTCATGTCCGAAGGAGGGAGCTGGAGGCTGGGACTTACCGGGACTCAGGGAGGTGGCCAGCCCTGGGTCCAGGGCAGACAGGAGTTCACAGCCATTGAGGGAGGGGCTGGTACCATTGAGAGGGTCCTGCTAAGCCCCTGTGTCTGTCTAGCTGTAAGGGCCTCTCAGCTTTTCTGAGGGGTGAGAGAGCAGTCTCCCTGCAGGGTGACAGATGCCGTGCTGGCCAGGACATGTGCCAGCACGCTGAGCAGCCTCGTGTTCAAGCTGTGGGGCTTCCCAGACAGGGATGGGTGCTCTCTCTGCAGGATGCTGCAGCCGTCCAGCAGCCTTCTCTGGGGGAAGCTCCGTGTGGACATCAAGGCATACCTGGGCTCGGTCATACAGGTGCAGTTCTGGTGGAGAGGGCACTGGGGCCTGGCTATATCCATTGGTCCAGTCTTTGCTTGTCTCCCAGAATGCATTGGCATGGGGCCTCACTGTTCCCTCCTGCCCCCAGCTGGTGTCCTGTCTGGCGGAGGCGACAGTGTTGGCGGTCGTGCTGCGGCATATCAGCGCGCTGGTGCCCTGCTTCTTGACCTTCCCCAAGCAGTGCCGCATGCTGCTCAAGGTGGGTGGCCCGGTCCCCTCCCTGTGCCTGTCATGGGGCTGGTGGGCCTCGGTGGCTTCCCCTACCATATCCCACTCCTGTCCGGGGCACAGGTCAGGTGGTGTCCACACCCCACTGGCTCCACTTGGCCAGAGAGATCACAGGAGCACCTAGCCACCACCCCCATCCAGGGTTCCCGTCTCAAGGAGCCACCACCCACACGGGCAGTGTGGCTCAGTCTGTGAGCACAGCCACAGTGAGGTGTCCTCTTCCCGATGTGATCTGACCTACGTTGGCGTGTCTGATGTGGGAGGCTTTTGTGGTCCTCTTCTCACAAGGAGCAACACGGCTGTTCTGTTTTCACTTCTGTAACTGAGCTCCTAACTCACGGCTCCACCGAGGTGCTTTGGGAAGAGCTGGTGGCCACAGCAGCCTTTGCTTGGCTGGGGAGGGCGTGCCGGCTGAGGAAGCTAGGGGCCAGGAGTGACATCTGATCTTTTGCAGAGAATGGTGGTCGTGTGGAGCACTGGAGAGGAATCCCTGCGGGTGCTGGCTTTCCTGGTCCTCAGCAGAGTCTGCCGGCACAAGAAGGATGCTTTTCTCAGCCCCGTTCTCAAGGTAGTGGTGGGTTCTGCCTCTGTGTCCCTCAGCGTCTGTGTTGGAAACGTCGGTCTATGGGTGGGGCAGGCTGCCTGTGCGGTTGGTGCCCCTCAGTGGGCCTTGCACTGCGTCTCTGGGCGGACTTGGACCCTTGGATCATGAATTTCTCACAGAGCAGCTGGGGGTGGTAGGCAGGGAATAGAGTCCCCAGCCTCCTCAGGGCCCCACCTGGACCCTTCTGCACACAAAGTGAGGGCCTACCTGGCTGGAGGAGGACACTGGGTGTTGGGGGGAGTTGGGATCTGGGGCCACCGCCAGGGCAGCCTCTACAGCCCGGCCCCAACACTGGCCCAGTGTGCAGCAAAAGCTTCTGCCCCAGCTCCTCCCAGGCCTGAGGCTGGCGGCCACATGGGGGTGGGGGCCATGCCAGGGGCTGTAGCTCTTCCTCGAGGCACAGCTGGGAGGGAAAGGCCCAGGTGTTCACAGGGGGTCTAGAGCCAGCGGTGGAGCTGCATGGCCCTGAACCCAGAGGCTCTGACTGGGATCCCTCCGCAGCAAATGTACATCACGTACGTGAGGAACTGCAGGTTCACCTCGCCTGGCACCCTCCCCTTCATCAGCTTCATGCAGCGGACCCTGACGGAGCTGCTGGCCCTGGAGCCGGGTGTGGCCTACCAGCAGGCCTTCCTCTACATCCGCCAGCTGGCCATCCACCTGCGTAATGCCATGACCACCCGCAAGAAGGTGTGTGGTGGGGCCCTTCAGGCTCGGGCCGGGTGTGGGGGGCAACCCAGGTGCCCGACCCTCGGCAGGGCCTGGGGCCTCCCTGAAAGTCTGTCGGGGGCAGCCCAGCTCCTCGGTACCGTCGGTCTTGCAGGTGGGGTAAGCGGGGAGGTGTGCAGGTGAGGAAGTGATCCAGTCCGGCTGGGAGCTGACGTGGTTCTCCCCGGGCAGGAGACGTACCAGTCTGTGTACAACTGGCAGTATGTGCACTGCCTCTACCTGTGGTGCCGGGTCCTGAGCACCGTGGGCCCCCGTGAAGCCCTGCAGCCCTTGGTCTACCCCCTTGCCCAGGTCATCATCGGCTGCATCAAGTGAGTGGTGGGGTGGGCAGGGCTGTCTGGGAGGGTCAGGAGAAGCAACTGAGTTGGGACAGTGCCTCTGGTGTTCAGGGCCTTGGGCCCTCAGTCTGTGTCCTGGCCGTCCCTGAGGAAGGGTTGGGGTCCCTGTGCAGTCTGCAGTTAATTTGGGTTTGTGACGTGGATTTCTGGGTGGAGCATGTCTGGTACAGTGCTTTGTGTTTTGGGTGTGAGCATTTGGGAGGGTGGGGGCAGGGAAGGGGTTGCAGCAGGAAAAGGTGGAAGCTGTACTTTGGCCGGACACGTCTGTGGCCTCTCTGGCCAGGAGGGGGCATCTGTCTGCCCGAGCCTTAGAAACCCACAATTGGGAAGGGAGGTCCAAGGGAAGAAGCAGGAAAGCAGGGACAGACGACTCCTGGCACTATGTTAAAACGAAATTAAGTTGAAATCTGGATGAGGCACCCGAAGCCCCATAGCTGAGCAAGGAGGCAGATCCTTCAGGTTGAGATTTGCCTTGTCCTACTTGAGGGATCTGATGCCTTTGAGTGGGGAAGGGGTCCAAGACAGCAGGGTGTGGGGCAGGGCTGCCAGAGCCTCTGCTCACACAGCCTTCCTATGCCCAGGCTCATCCCCACTGCCCGCTTCTACCCACTGCGAATGCACTGCATCCGTGCCCTGACGCTGCTCTCAGGGAGCTCAGGGGCCTTCATCCCAGTGCTGCCTTTCATCCTGGAGGTAAGTGGGGCTGCGGAGGGTGTGCGGCACGTCTGCCTGCTCCTGTGGGGAGCACTGCCGCTCGGGGAGTCTGTGCTGAGCCATCCAGTGACCTCCCAGAGCTCTGGCCGCCTCCTTCTCCTGGGTGTCTTGAGGACACTCCTCCGTGAGCCAGGGGCAGTGTGCTCCGTGATGTTGCAGTTTGGGAAGTGTTGGTAGATGTAGGGCCACTGGGGATGAAGACAGCTGCTGCCAGGGCTACGCTTGAGGGTGACAGACCTTGACTCTGTAGGTGCTTCTCCAAGACGGGCGTTAGGAGGGAGCACTGGGTGAAAGCCCGAGTCTGACTGCTGAGCTGTGCTCTCTCAGTGGCCCGTCCAGTGTGCATGTGTGTGGGGTTGTGTCCATCTGTGAATGTGTGTGCGCATCTGCTTGTGTACACATGTGTGCGTCTGTGGGGCTGTGTGTACATCTGTGGATGTGTTTGTGTGCACCATCTGTGAGTGCATGTGTGTGCATCTGTGGGTGTGTGCATGTGTCTGCATCTGTGTGCACCATCTGGGTGCATGTGTGTACGTCTGTGTGTGTACATCTGTGTGCATCTGTGTGGAGGTGTGTACATCTGCATGTGTGCACCATCTGTGGGTGCATGTGTGTGCATCTTGCACATCTGGGTGTGTACAGCTGCATTTGGGTGCATGCATGCATGTGCATCTGTGTGTGTGTAGTGCGTGCTTGCATGCATCTGTGTATACTTACCTGTGTGTGTGTGTGCACATGCATCTGTGTAGCACGCGTGTGCATGCACATGCATCCATGTGTAGTGCGTGTGTGTGATTGTGTACACCTGTGTATACTTGTGTGTGTGCATGCACATACATCTGTGTGTAGTGCACGTGTGCGTGCACGTGCATCTGTGTGTGTAGTGCGTGTGTGCACCTGCACATGCTAGTCAGGTCGGGAAAGGTTGGAGTCTGAAACTCTGACATCCGGTGGGTGGGCTCCATACTAGCCCACCATAAATTTAGGAATTGGCAATCTCCACCCTGGTTAATGAGTTGTTAGCCTCATGAAGGCTCAGAGTCATGTCACAGTTGTCCTTCGGGCTGGGTCCCTAGGTTGCCAGGTCCAGAAGGTATGGAAGCCCCAGGCATGTTCTGATTGCCCTTCCACCGAGGCAGGGATGCTGCAGTTTGGGAAGCCATGTTCACTCCCATTGCAGCCAGTAGTAGTCTCTGACTGCCTAGTCCTTGGCCTGGCCCCGTCTTGGCATCCCCGCTGTGAACCTGCCGCTCTGCAGGCCAGCTCCCCGCATGCTTTGTGCCTGTCCCCTGTGCCCCATCTCCGCTGGCTGCATGCTCTCTTGCAGTGTCTGTGTTTCTTCACCTCTGCACTGCCCTGGTTCACTGCAGCTGCACCCTAAAGGCCCCTCTCATGCAGGGATGCAGGCTTCTCCTAGAAAAAGCAAACCCCAAAGGCTTAAGCAAAGCCTTCAGCTGTAGGCTGTGTCCACCCTTCCCTTGGTGCCTGGGCAGGAACCCACTCACCCACCCGTACTTCAGCCCAGGCTAGAGAAAAGGCAGTGCCCTCCCAGAAGTTCATTACTACTAGGGCGTTTTTCCATCTGGAGCTGAGCTCAGCTGTCCAGCAGCCACCCCTGCTGAGTGGAGTCTCTTCCTGGGGTTTCCCCATTTATGTCCCCTATAACCTGCTTCTGATCTCTGCGTGCCCCAGCACATATCCTGGATCTCTCTGGTTCACAGCCTGAGGGCCCCTGTGTAAGGAGTCTCCTGGTGGTTGGGGAGGGGTCACAAGGCTGAGAAGCCGGACTAGACTCCCTCTCTGCTTTTCCTGGCATGTCCTGTGGAGGTGCACGGCTTGTGGCTTCTGTGCAGATATGGATTGAAAGGGGTGCCCAGGCCTCCTGTGACCTCCATCTGTGCTCAGCACTCCTCGCTGTTGCTACCTTGTCCTTTGGCTATTGGGGGCGCAGCCCCACCTGGCACTGCCGTGCTGAGGGCTGGGGTGGGCCTTGGGGCCATGTCGTCGGGAACAGGGCTGTCCTGGCACAATGTGTGGGGGGAACTCTAGGTCTCCAGACACGGATCCTTAGTGCTTCCCAGGATTGTGGGAGAGGGCCTGTGTTCCTGGTCCTTCTCTGCTGACCAGAGCCTCACTCCGGGACACAGCAGGCTGTGTGGGCCACAGGGCTGGTACCATGTCTGGCTGCTCATCTCTGGTCTCAGGTCAGGTCTCCTTGTGCTGAAGCCTGAGGACCAGGGTGCATCCTGGCACGGGGTCCAGGCAGAGCCTGACATGCCCTCGGGGCAGATGTTCCAGCAGGTCGACTTCAACAGGAGGCCCCGGCGCATGAGCTCCAAGCCCATCAACTTCTCCGTGATCCTGAAGCTGTCCAACGTCAACCTGCAGGAGAAAGCATACCGGGTGAGACTGGCCTCCTGGGGAGGAGCCTGGGCAGCTCCAAGATGGGGTTGGCGGTGCCAAGGTGGATGGGAAGGGCTGGCATCCTCCGAGGTCAAGCATGGACCTTCATGATCTCCTGGGCTGGGGGCCTAGGGGCCTCTTCCTTGAGTCCCTGTCCTGGAGATGGGGCTAATCTGACAGTCTGAGGGTTAGGGGCCCAAGTGCCTGGCCCCTCGCCTCTACCTCATGCACTCGGCCTTCCCCTGCTCTCAGGATGGCCTGGTGGAGCAACTCTATGACCTTACGCTGGAGTACCTGCACAGCCAGGCACACTGCATCGCCTTCCCGGAGCTGGCCCTGCCTGTGGTCCTGCAGGTGTGTGTCCTGCCCACACCCCTCAGGGGCTGCTTGGTGGCCGACTCAGATTGTCTTACGATGGGCTCAGCTGCCCAGGGCTGGTAGGAGGTGCACTCTTCCTGGGTACTGGGCCGAGGATGAGCCTGACTGGTATAGAGGCTCCACAGGCAGCTCCTCCCTGGGGCCCCCATGTAGGGGCTGATAGGGTGTGGGAGCCTGAGGGTGTCCTTGGGGGCCATGGGGTTCTGATGGGTTCTGAGCCACTCAGGAGGTTTGGGGCAGGCCTGGGCAGTGGGCCAAGGACCCCAGGAGCACAGCCACCCTCTGTATGCTGGAGCCACATGGCTGATCTTCAATGTTGGGACTGAGTGTGCCGACCCTGGCTCAAGCTGGTCCCTGGCCACACTCCCCAAGGCCGTCCCTGGTGTGGGTAGTAGGCTCTCAGGTGTCAGGAAGACCCAGCCTGCCTGGCCAGGTACCCCGAGTCAGTCCCGCCTTAGGCAGGGGTTGGGTGGAGTGGGGGTTCTCCCTGTCCTCAGAAGGTCCTTCTGGGCCCCACAGGAGGTCTCTTTGCTCAGCCCAGATGTTTCAAACCTCAGGGACGGCTGTGCCTAATGGTGGGGCGGGGGGCCCTGCTCTCTGGCCCTAGTGGCTAGAATCAGATTTGCCAATTACAGGTCTGTGGGGTGCGGGGTGGGAGGTGCTCTCCTGAACCACAACTGGTCAGAGGCTCATCCAGACACACGTGTGTGCGTAGGTGTGTACTCAGTCACACGTGACCCCACACATCATCACATGCACACACAGGACTGTCACATGCACAGAGCTAGGACCTCCTTTCCCAGGGTGGGGGCACTCACAGCAGGGGCAGCAGCCTCTGTACCTCCCGTGTCCTCTGGAGTGGTGACGCCTGGGATTTGGGGCACCTCTGCTTCTGGACTCAAGGTCCCAGGGTTGGGGTCTGGAGTAGGGGTCATAGGGGTCAGAAAATGTTTTCATTAAGGTAGACACGGCAGGCTTTGTGGGGTGTGCTGTTTCTCACAGGTGTTCCGCTGCACAGACAGCCACAAAAGCCATGAAGATGGACGTGTGGCTGTGCACCAGTGAAACTTTATTATTTATTTATATAGGTAGAGCATTTCTGTGTAACCCAAGCTGGAGTGTAATGGTGCGATCTCTGCTCACTGCATTTTCTGCCTCCTGGGTTCAAGTGATTCTCCAGCCTCAGCCTCACAAGTAGCTGGGCCTACAGGCACCTGTCACCACACCTGGCTAATTTTTGTGTTTTAGCAGAGATGGGGTTTTGCCATGTTGGGCAGGCTGGTCTTGAACTCCTGACCTCAGGTGATCTGCCCGCCCCAGCCTCCCAAGATGCTGGGATTACAGTCATGACCCACTGCGCCTGGCATAAAATTTATTTCCAGAGATGAGTAGCAGGCAGGGTTGGCCCGGAGGGTGGGCTGATTCTGCCTCTGCCACCCCAGCTGCAACACGTGCCCTTGGGCTCTGAGATGGAATTCATGTCCCTTCCTGGTATATTGCCTCCCTGTGGCTGCCACGTGTGGCTTTGCACAGGACCTGAGCCAGCTGTGTGCATGGAGCTGCTCTGGGCTTCTGTGGCTGACCCCCTCTCTTCTGCAGCTGAAGTTCTTCCTCCGGGAGTGCAAGGTGGCCAACTACTGCCGACAGGTGCAGCAGCTGCTGGGAAAGGTTCAGGAGAACTCAGAGCACATCTGCAGCCGCCGTCAGAGGGTCTCATTTGGCGTGTCTGACCAGCAGGCAGTGGTCAGTGGGCCCTGGGGGCAGTGCCAGCACCTACCAGGGTGTAGCTGGGATGTGAGGGTTTACCCAGGGTCAGGCATGACCCTGAACTCCCCCAACCCCCCAGGAAGCCTGGGAGAAGCTGACCCGGGAAGAGGGGACCCCACTGACCTTGTACTACAGCAACTGGCGGAAGCTTCGGGACCGGGAGATCCAGCTGGAGATCAGCGGCAAAGAGCGGGTGCGGCTCGGGGTGGGGGCCTGGGGAATGGGGATGTGATCCGCTGGGTTTTAGAACCAGTGCCAGCTTAGGGTGGGGTGTGGGGTGTGGTGTGATCCACTGGGTGTTGGGTGTATTGTGATCCGCTGGGTTTTAGATCCAGTGCCAGCCTAGGGTGGGGTCTGGGGTGTGGTGTGATCTGCTGGGTTTCAGAACCAGTGCCAGCTTAGGGTAGGGTCTGGGGGTGTGGTGTGATTTGCTGGGTTTCAGAACCAGGGCCAGCTTAGGGTGGGGTCTGGGGTGTGGTGTGATCTGCTCGGTTTTAGATCTAGCTCACTGACTATGACTTGAGACTTGAGGCCAGGCTGAGGGTTTGGAAGCAGTGCCAGGCGGCAGAGGCCATGGTGCTGGGCTTCCCTGATGGGGTATTGCCCAAGGTGATTCAGCTTGGAGAGGGGTAGGTGTTACAGAACTGGCCAGAGGGAGGCCAGGCCACACCCCCTCAGGCCTGATGAGTTGGTGCTCTGGGCTGGTGGAGTGACTGGACTGACCTCGGCGTCCAGGCCAGCATGTGGGTAGTACGGGGAGGTGGGGTGAAGCAGGAAGGGCTCTGCTTTTGACCTTGGACATGGGATGAGTAACTTGGAGGATGGCTTTGTGCTGATTTGGGAATGGGGTGCTAGAAATTGGCCACACAGGGTCCTGGTGGTGGGTCTGGTGATGCCATCAGCCCCTGCCTAATCCTACCTGAGGCCCTGACTCCTTGCCCTTCCAGCTGGAAGACCTGAACTTCCCTGAGATCAAACGTAGGAAGGTGGTGGACAGGAAGGATGAGGACAGGAAGGAATTTAAAGACCTCTTTGACCTGAACAGCTCTGAGGAGGATGAGGACGTGGAAGACTTCTCAGAGAGAGGTGGGACCCTTGAGGTGCTCCCAGGGAAGAATGGCATAGATGGCTCTCCTGGACTTCCCAGAGCCACAGGGCCACTCACACCCACCCTGCAGGGCTCACCAGCCTCTGGCCCAGCTGGGGCCAACCTTGGTGTTACCCAGGCTTCTGGTGCCGGCTCCTTGCCTCTAGGATAAAGGCTTACTGGGATTGGTAACCCGAGTCCTCAGGCCTGTGATCTCCCAGTTCTTCCTCAGTAATCCCCTCTGCCATCGTGAAGTCAGTGAAAGGCATCCAAGCAGGGGCGCAAGCCTGGCCACCTTCCTGCCTTCGCTGCCCACACTGTGACTTTGCTGGTGGACCCTGTGGGTGGGAGTCACATGGCTCTGCTCCTTGTTCCCCAGGGATACTGGGGCCCTTGAGGACTCGGCAAGGAGTGGAAGAGGAGGACGACGACGACGAGGAGGGCGACAGCAGCAGCTCCGAGGGTGAATGCTCTTGGGGTGAGGGGGTGTGGCCTGTGAGCCCATCTAGTGGGAGGGCAGAGCAGCGGTGGGTGGGGGAAGGGGGCTCTGTCCCCAGGGAGGCCTGGCCAAATGCTCTATTCTCTCTAGCTCTGGCAGCCAGCAGCAGCAATGGGGATAAATTAATTAGTGCTGTGATTAATTGATGAGTAACCTCCAAGGCTGGCTTTTTCCTGATAAAGCATAATTTATGTAGCCTCTGTCTCTCCCCGCAGATGGAGACCCAGATGCAGAGGCGGGGCTCGCTCCCGGGGAGCTGCAGTGGCTGGCCCAGGGGCCAGAGGACAAGCTGGAGGATCTGCAGCTCTCTGAGGAGGACTGAGGCAGCCCATCTGGGGGCCTTTTGGGGGCTGGCGGCCAGTGTTGCTACTTCTCTGGCAGTCAGGCCCAGAGGCTGGCGTCTGTGCAGCTGGGGGAGGCAGTAGAGGGTGGACAGGCTTTATTCATTTTTCAGCATGAAAGCCCAGATTTCCTGGGTGGCTGCCAAGGGGTAGAACCAACACCTTGGGGCCTGCCTCCTGCCAGAGCCCCACAGCTGTGTGCTGTTTAAGTCATCCTGCTCCCAGCATAGTGGGGGGAAGCTAACCTTGATGTCAGGATACAGACCAGTTCCTGGGGAGGCCTGCAGGCCCCTTCCAACTTCTCTGCCCTAGCACCAGGCTCTGCAGTCACCCCTACCCCGTCTTTGGAGATTTGTTCATTTCCTTTGAAGTCACTTTTTCCCTTAAACTGTTTTTCTTTTTTGCATCGCAAACCAAAAGAAATAAAGCTTCGGGAGGTAGGGTGTGCCCCCCCACACCCCTGGCCACCTCAACACAGAGGCTGGGTTGGGTCAGGGGCCCCTGGAAGCAGGACCAAGGTCCCATTCTCCTGCTTGGGCGAAGCTCGGCTGGCAGAGGCGTGGCCCCCTCCATAGGGGGAAGTGGCGGTCATGGGGGACAAAGGCTGCTCTCCTGTGCTGAGTTCCCTCTCCCGGGCCCGCAGGGTTGGTGGCTGCAGTGGTAGAGCCACAGGGAAGCTGGCCATGTAGAAGACACGGCCCAGGCGCCTGGCCACCTGCAGAGACAGGACCTCGTGGGGCTTCCTGAGGGGCTGCTGCACACCCACGGGGAGCTTTGTGCCCAGCTGCGGTCTGGAGACAGGTAACTGTCCAGCAGCTCACCTGGGCACGGATCTTGAGGGCAGGCCCCAGCTTCAGCCCCATGGTGGTCAGCAGATGTTCTTCCGTCAGCAGTGGCAGGGTCTCCCCGTCGATCCCCTGCTCCCTGAAGACCTGGAAGAGGGAGGGAGAGATCAGGATCCAGGTGCCTGCTCCATCCTCCAGCCCAGCACCGGAACATCTCTTAAAAAATGTGTTGGGTTTGAGTCTACCTCGTGCAAAAATAGGTGGGGCCCAGTCCAGCCCCCTCCGTGCATCGCTTTTAGGGAGGGAAAGGGCTTCAGGGAATGGCCTTACCCTACCATCTTTTCCAGAGAAGTAATGAGTGCCAGCTGGCTAGCCCCACCCCAGGGACTATGGCCCTCCCTCCTTACCTGCGTGTACTCTCCGCAGCCAGACAGGCCCCCCACAAAGCTGCAGACATCATCCACAGTCCACTTGCTGACGTCCTCAGGGGCTGGGGCCTCCTCCCCATCCACGGAGAGTCCCCCCACGGTTCCTGAGTTGTGGGGTGTGTTACTAGGGCTCTGGCTGGCTTTCCCGTACCCGCCCGTCTTCTGACCTTCGTGTGCCCCAATTACTCAGGTGTGGGATAGACGCCTAAGGGGCGTTTTCATCCCCACAGATCCCCTCCCTGCTAAGACCCTTCCACAGGAGATCTGCGAGGATCTAGAGTGTGGGGTGCCCACCTGTGTGGAAGTAGGGGCTGACGGCATAGGGGAAGCCCAGGGTCAGCGAAGGAGGCAGTGTGGACCCTGAGAAAAGCCCCTTCCCCTCAGCGCCGGCCCCTCCAGCCGGAGCTTGGCCCGGAGTGGGCTCCCGGCATCCAGCAGCTGCCGTCTCGGGGTCCTCTCCATCCGAGTCTTTGGGAGGCTCGTCCTCGGAGCCATCTTGAGCCCAAAACCTGGCCCCTGTCATCTTGGACTCGCCGGGCCGGGCCGAGGCAGAGCCGGGACCCCCTTTCCGGGGGGCTCGCCGGGCCGAGTCCCGGGAGAGGGTGGGGGGTCCTGAGCTCGGGGGCCCCTGGGGGGGCAGGGCCAGCAGCGGCGCCGCGGCGTGGTTGAGCACCAGCAGGGCCCCCCGCCGCTGCAGCTCCTCGGCGCCGTCGGCGGAGCGCAGGGCCATCTCGGGCGCCAGCAGCTGCGGGCGCGCGCCCTCCAGGTCTTTCTGCCGCATGAGGTCGGCGGGCAGCTCCAGCCTGGGCCAGGGGCAGATGCAGGTCAGCCGCCTCCCGGGCCGCGCCTCCCCGCCCGCGCCCCACACCTACCGGGCCAGGTTCTGCTTCCGCAGGAGCTCCTGCTGCCGGACGAACATCTCCGCCTGGGCGGGGGGCAGGAAGCCGTAGCCTGGTGGGGGGAGGACAGCGCAGAGTCGCGGGTCCGAAGCTACCCTCGGCAGCCGCCTACTCCGGCCGGCTTGACTCCCGGGGGACTGAAGGCCCCGCAGAACCCAGGGCACGCGCGCCCACCTCCTCACCTGGGGTCTGGCACAGAGCCGAGGGCACCCCCAGAAAGGGGGGCCTAAGATGGGGGCCGAGGGCGATGTGAGGGGCATTCTGCGGCGACAGCAAGGGTGGGGGCGGCTGTGGCAGCTCCCTGCGGACGGCAGCGCAGTGAGCGTCGCCCCCATTCCCGTAAAGGTCCCGCGCCCCTCCCCCGCCGCCTTCGCTAATTGCCGGCCCCGCGGGCGGTCGATGCGCAGCTCGTTACCGCCCCGGGTCGCGCGACGTCCCCGCCCCCGCCGGCGGCGCCAATTAATCTCGGCGGCGGCGAGAAGGCCCTGACCCCGCGGGCGGCGGCGGCTGCCGCGGTAATTACTGCGCGCTGCCTGCTCCCCTCCCCTGCGGACTCCACGGCGGGGAAGCGGGGGCGTCGTTAGCCGCAATCTGGGAGGTAGCGGAGGCAGCTGCAGACGCTGGGTTCAGGGGCCGGGCGGGGACTCGCCGCTTCTCGCGGCCCCCCGCCCCGTCGAGTCTCCTGGACCCCAGAAGCCCTGATCTGTGCCGGGAACAGATCCGGCGCCAGGAACCACCCGCCCCCAGCCCCAAGCTCTAAGTCCTCTGGCCGACTCGTCCCAACTGACCCCGGGGTCCCAGACTTGGAGCTCCCCTCTCTTCTCAGGCTTGAGTTCCCGCTCTGGGGCCCGCAGGATCCCCCAGATCTGCCTCAGCCTCCCCTCCAGCCGCGCCCTCCACACTTCAGCCCAGGGCAGTGTCACTCCCGAAACGTTTTGCCCGGATCCAAACGAACACCTGAACACTGCTTGGCACGCTCCGGGCGCTCATCAGCCGCGCTGAGCGCGTGGGGGTGCGGGCCGTGGGCATGGCCCGCCCACCCCAGAAACAAGCCGAGAACCGCAGCCACCCCAGTACCTCTCCGAGAAAGACGGGGCGGCGGCCTCGCGGTGCTGAGCCAGGCCCTGCTTCCGACGTTGAGCTGCCGCGGAGGAGGGCAGGTGGGTTTCCAGGCCACTGGGGCTCCTCAGAGCTGCAGCTGCCACCTCCTGCCGGACCCTCAGGAGATCTGGGTGGGGGCCAACAGTAGTGACCCCACCCAGCTACTCGACTCCCTCCCCAGCCCGCGTCCTGGCGTAAACTCTGAGGTGGGGAACTAACCACACCACCCGGCTGTGCTGGGCCCCTGCGCTGGTCTCAAGCACCAGGCAGAAGGTCGGCCGGCCACAGGGCGGAGGCCGCAGACCAGAGGCTGGGCGGGAGGTGTCAGGAAAGGCCCTTCCCCCAGAGGAGCGGGTGCCCGAAAGCTTCTGGCCTGGGAGGAGGCTGGAGCCTCGCAGGGAGGGGCTGTGCGGAGGTCCCGAGGGCGCTGCGCCTGCGGGGCAGCCAGAGTACAGGAGAACCAGCCGGGGGCGGACCGCCCATGGGACCCCCTCCTCCGAAGGCAAGGAGATGTGAGGTCCCCGCAGTAGACACGGCTGACAGAAGCTTGCCACAGAGGCAAGGCAGCGCCAGGCTCGCACGGCCACACCAGCACAGTCCCGGCTGCGCACGGTCACCGTCCCGCGTGGCCACACTCACCCCAATGCCCACGCAGCGCCCACGGGCGCGCACGTCTAATGCGCCTGGTCCCGGGTCTCTCGGCCCCTCCCTGCCGCCCAGGCCCGGCCTCCCGAGTCCCCGCAGCCCCCACAGTGCAGGCTCCGCCAGCTCCACCGCCGCCTCTGTTTATAAATTAATTACCCGAAAGCGGAGGTGGGTCCCGCCCCGGGCCGGGTGCCAGCCCGCAGAGCCCAGCCGGCGCGGCCGCCCGCATCGATCCCAGCGGGGCCCAGCACCCCCGCGCTCGCGGCCCGGGTTATTTACAGCCGGCTCCGCGGCGGGGCGGGGGCGGGGGCGGGGGCGCGGCCTGATTGACAGCGCCCTACCCGGCGGCCGGCGCCCCCTCCCCCGCGCGGCCAGCAGAGCCGCCCCAGGCAGAGCAAGGAAAGCAATTAAAAAGGAGGATTTTTAAATTATTAACATTTGGTGAATTATTCAGGCTCTTGGTGCCCGAGCTGCCCTGGGGGACAGTGCCTGGTGTGAGGAATCCTGCCTTCTTTCCCGGCGTCCCCACCCATCTCTAGCCAGAAAAGCCCAGCTCCGCTGCCAGGAGGCGGCTGGGGCCTGGGAGGCTGCGTGCAGCAGGGCAAGGTGTCTGGCTGCATCCTGGGGTGACCCTGGAGAACGTCATGAGGTGGGGTGGACAGGGTCAGAGCCGACGTGGGGGAAGGGTGGGGACAGAGACAGCCCCTCCAGCTGGGGGTCTTAAGCACCTGGGGAGTCCTGGTGGCCAAGTGCTCACTGCACCCAGCCTGGCCTTTCTGCTCAATGCCCCTCCCCAGGCTCCTGGAGCAGGCGTGTGGCAGGTCAGCTCCCGGCTGGAGAGACGACTGAGACCCTAACCCTGTGGTCCGGGAGCTTGCTCGCCTGTGGAGGCGCTCCTTAGATGCCCACCGCTCACCCTCACCTGGGTCCACCCCGACTCCATTTCTCCATACATAAAATGTGAGTTACCCTTGAGCCTGGGGGACACGGAAGTGTGGCCTGCCCCAGGGGACCCCCAGGGACCTGCATTCAGCCTGGCCTTGGTGTCAGCAGGGCCTCAGCAACAGGAATGGCCGATTACATGTGGGTGGGGAGGTGATAAGGGCTTGTGTGGTGGGATCGTGGGGACCGGGGGTCCTCACCATGATTGGGGAGGCCCAGGTGGTAGAGCCGCTGAGGGTCGTCAAAGGTGCCAGTCTCGCTCAGTGCCGACACGAACCGGCGGTACTGGTCGTCTGGGGCCATGGTGGGCCCCAGGTCCGGGGGCAGCAGCAGTGCCTCTGCTGGAGAGGCCAGAATGAGAGGCTTCTCCAGACACTGCCGAGGACCACCCACCTCTGGAACCCCTGCCCGAGGTCCAAGGGACCCTCCGGGACTGCCCCCTCTCCTGGCGACCTGTCCCTCGTCCTGGCCAGGCTCTTACCTTGGGGGGATTGGCTTCGTGCCCTCTTCTCCGAAGAGCAGTCACTGCTGATATGGGAGGAGTGGCCCAGCCTCTTGCCCAACAGGTTATCTGCAGGTGGTAGTGAGTGCCCGCCCTGCATCTCAGGGAATGGACGGGGGACCCATCCCCTGCCCCAGCTCCGCCTGGACCGCACCCACCATGTCTCAGGCGGCCCTTGGTCCTGGTGAGTTCAGGCCTTGCCCAGCCGGGGGCTCCAGCCTTCAGCGAAGGGGGCATCATGCCTGGTTGTGGCGGGGCAGGGGCACAAGGCATCCCTGACACTGGTCCTGGTCCCAGTGCATGTGTGCCAAAGAGATTCACGGCAGGCACCTGGCTGCCCCACCAGCCAGCCCAGCCTCTGGTGCAAGGTAGTGAGCCCCCCAGTATCCCCCTGGAGAATAAAACCAGGCACCACCTTGCCCTCCTGGACAGGGGTGAGGGCGGGCTGTGCACAGTCCCACGCCAGTGTGGGGTGAGGCGCGCTGGGCAGGACCTCACCCCTGACCTTTTCCTGCTCTGTGAGTCACTGAGCTGTAGACTGCTGAGACCTCCTCGAGGCCCCTCCACTCTCAGGTCAAACCCATCCATCTTGGTCACACCCATCCCTGCCAGAAGGCCCAAGTCCTCCTCTCTGGCCCACTCCTGCCTGAGCTAACACCCTGGTGTGGCTGTGATGCCCTTGTCCACCTGCCCAGCCAGGCTGTGAGCTCCTGGCTGCACCTACAAGAAGCCTCATTCACCTCCGCAGCCGTGACCAGCCCAGTCCCAGCCCCAAACACAGCCCAGTAGCGGGCAGAGGGGAGGCCCAGGCCAGGCCCAGCCCACTCTCCTGAGGTCCTCCCTCGGGTTCTGCCGAGCACACCCATTCCAGACCTCAGCACGATGTACCCATCTCCCACTCATCCCAAGCTCCTTCCAAGCCCCTGACGCCTCGCTCTGGGGATCTCCCTGGTCAGCCACAGTCCCTCCGACTCTGGCCCATCCTCATCCTCATTGAGGCCTCTAGGTGGGTGGGGTAAGGGGCCACCCCCCTGTGACCCAAGACCTCTCTGAGGCCTAGGCAGTGGGGCTCCCAATCCTGCCCGCCCCCCCCCCGGGCCCTGCCGTCAGCTCCAGGCCTAATTCCTTTTTCTTATTCCCTTAATCTGTCATTTTTATCAGGCTGGGGAAGTGCGGCGGCCACACCGATCAATCCCACATTACAGCTGACAGAGCGGTGCTAATAACTTATTGATCCTGGCCGGGCAGCCGTCAGGCCCAGCCCCAGAGAGAAGGTCAATCCCATGGCCTGGTCCAGGGTCCCCGCCTCAGTGACAGATCGGGCAGCTGGGCCAGGTGAGCAGTGGGGGGCACCTGGCCGCACGCAGATCCAGGCACCACTGCCCAGGCCCCCCACAGCCTGCTGTGCCAGAACTCAGTGGGCGGGAAGGGGTCCCGGCAGGGCTGGGGCAGCCTGGCTCTTTTCCACACCTGCTGCCTGGCCCACTGTGCACACACCCTCCGGGTCAGCAAAGCCTCTCACTTCCGGGCAGTTTTCCACTTACACAGTGGAAACGCCCCTCTCGTTCTGCTGGGGGATAAGCCCTCCTCATAGGCTGGCAGAGGTGACGCTGGGCAGCGGCAGCAGGTGGAAGGGGGCGGGGCAGGTGGAAGGGGCGGGGCAGGTGGAAGGGGGCCTGCCCAGAGACCACAGGAAGGCCGTTGAGAACACGCTCCCTCCTCACTCCCTCATTCGAGGACCCCGGGTGGTCTCACAGAGGCAGACAAAGGACCTGCTCTGAGTCCCTCACAGCCCAGGGCCCAGGGAGTTGCGGCCCTGGTGAGTGGTCCCGGCAGGGAACAGGATTGACGTGTGGTTTCTGGGGTCACCTGAAGGGAGAAGGGGTGAATACTCCCAGGGTGAACGCCTCCTCCAAGAGGAAGCTCCCGGGAGCAGGCCAGTCCTTGACACGGAGTGTGTGGGTGAAACCCGGGTGTGAGACCCCAGACACTCGAGGTGCTGCAGAGCCTGGGGGCCCCATGGGCCAGAGCACTGCTGGCAGCCCCATCTGGGGCACCACACGGGACCCCAGATGTGCACACACGCACATGCGTGGACCTGAGGAGGCTCCCAGTGTGAGCGCACAGGGAGGGGATGCTGGCTGAGAATATCTCAATCTTTACGGGGCTCCCTTGCTCTTCGGATCGATGAGGCAATTAGATTTTATCAACCACCTCTCCGCTGTCTGCAAAAACCACCCCACCTGGCCCCACAAAGGCCTTCCCAGGCCCACGAAGACACAGATGGGGACACAGATGACTCGGATGGGGGTGCTGAGTTCCAGAGGGGGCCTCCCCTGCCGCAGCTTCCCAAGAGCTGCAAGCCCTGCTGGGAACACCCCTGCCTGGGTCCACAGGACCTCAGGAGCACCCCCCTCCTTTCACGGCCCACCCAGGGCTGAGGCTCAGCTGTGTCCCTCTCTACAGCAGTGGCCTCTGAAGGGGGCCTGGGTCCCCAAACTGCCCCCTCCCTCTGAGGTCCTGTGTCAGGACTCCCGTCTCCCTAGAACAACTGTGACCAGGCAGTAACACCTCCCTCAGGCGCAGACTTCTTCCCTCCTGGAACCCTAGGAGGAAGAACTGGGAACCCTTTCCCTCCCGGAACCCTAGGAGGCAGGACCAGGGACCCCTTCCTTCCAGGGGCCCCTTCCCTCCCAGAACCCTAGAAGGCAGGACTGGAGACCCCTTCCTTTTGGGGACCTCTTCCCTCCCGGAACCCTAGGAAGCAGGACCAGCCCTGCCTGCGCTGAGCAGTCCCCAGTGGGGGTGAGGGGTGAGCATGTTCCAGCCTGTAAGCCAAGCCACTGCGGGTGCATTTCTGAACCTCTAAGGCCATGCCTACGTCTGCCCTGTGAAGATGGGTGGCAGGCCCCGGCCGCTACAAGCCCACCCCGGTGGCAGCCACAGCGGAGCCGCCGCCTCTGCCTCCTGTCTGCCCTGCTGGCTGGGATTAACACAATTACCATCACACGAAGCCCCAGGGGACAGGCCGCTCCTCCTGCCTCTCTGGCTGCCTGCCAAGGCTGGCCGGCAGCCGCCACTGTCCTCTGGCCCCACAGCCCCAATCCCTCCCTCAGGTCCCCTGGGCTACTCACCTGCGGGTCCCAGGCCAATCTCCAGGCTGCCTCTCTGGAATTCACAGCTGCTCTGATGCTCGGGCATAACGAGGTGGCGGCTGCGGTGGACACTGGAGCAGAACAAGATGAGAGAGGCTGACCCCCTGGGCAGCGGCGAAGAGGCTGGAGCCCAGCCTGGGCACAGGGAGTGAGCCTGGGGACGACCTCTGAGCGCCACATGGCTGTGCCCACACCTCTGCATGTGGCCCATGACGCCACCATGTGCACACCCACGGAGCAAGCCAAAGCGACACAGAACCCGGCCCCAGGACCCCACTGCTGCTCCGGGGAGGCTCAGTGTAGAGCACCCAGCTGGCTCTGCCTTCACCCCTCCTGAGGGACTCTCACTGTTATCTCACTCCTTGCCCCAAAGGGTGGCGGGGACCCTGCACGGGGCCAGGCTGCTCCTTTGGGACAGGCCCCCGGAGAGCACGTGCCACCTGCCTGCTGCCAGCCCCTCGTGGCCATCTTGATGAGAACTTGCAACCGTCCCTTGCCCTCAATTTCTGCACACAAGGAAACTTAGGCTCAGACCACAGATCTGCGACTGAGATGCGCGCGCGCGCGCGCGCGCGCGCACACACACACACACACACACACACACGACACCCACATAGCAGGCACCAGGGCCGACATCCCGGTGTGGGCTTGGAATCAGCATGCATTTAACTCTTTTGTTCCCTGTTTCTCCTCTTCTTGCTAATTCAGCCAGATCCCATATCCACTGGGGTCCCAGAGAGCAATGGGAGGAACTGTGTGGAGCATGGCCCTCCACCCCTTTCTGGTGTTGTGAGCCTATCCCCAGGTCAGCAGAGAGGGGGCTCTGGGACCACGAGACACCCCCTCAGCAACACCCCTGCAGTGTGGTCCCTGCCCACCTGTAATGGGGCAGCCTCCTGGCTGCACTGACGCTGGCAGGGCCTCTGCGCTGTGACCTGGGAGCCGACACTAAACCTGGTTAAATAGCCCCCGGCCCCCCTGACCTCGGCTGGCTGGAGCTGGGCTAATCCAGGGCTGCCCCTAAGCAGATCAGTTTCAGCACCAGAGACTCCCAAGCTGGGCTCTAAAGCTTTCCAGAGACCCAGATGCCGGCCTCTCCCCACCCCCACTGGCTCCCAGTGGGAAAGGAAGTCCCCCAGGCACACAGGAGGGCAGGTGGGTGGGAGTAAGTACTTTATGGGATTAATCGGCAGCGAGTCTCATCCCCTCCATGATCCTAATCAATGGGGGGGTGTCAAGAGAACTGCTGGCCTCAGCATGGGGTGGGGGCAGAGGGCCGTCCCAACAGCCACAGCTGCCACGGGGTTCTCCCCAGGGGTCCACACTCCGGTGTCCCCAGGAGGGACGTCTGCAGGAGGAGAACAGGCTCCCCAGAGACTCTGGAGGGTGGGGGCTGGCCCGTGAGCCTGGAGCCTGGCACCCAGAAGGAAAGTGAGGGAGGGCCTGATGGCTGTCTGGAAGGGCTGTGGCTTGGCAGTGCTACCTGGTGGGAAACTGGAGACCCCCTGCCCTCCCCAGCCCTGGTCTCTGCCTCGGAGTTTGCTCCTGAAGTTCTGACAAAGCTTGGCCTGGCCCAGCCCCTGAAACCCTGTTTTGGCCATTTGGCCACTCACTGAGCAGATTATGCCAGTTTTATGTAAAGAAATGTGAAGAAGCCAGGCGCGGTGGCTCACGCCTGTAATCCCAGCACTGTGGGAGGCCGAGGCGGGTGGATCACGAGGTCAAGAGATCGAGACCATTCTGGTCAACATGGTGAAACCCTCTCTCTACTAAAAATACAAAAAATTAGCTGGGCATGGTGGTGCGTGCCTGTAATCCCAGCTATTCAGGAGGCTGAGGCAGGAGAATTGCCTGAACCTAAGAAGCGGAGGTTACCGTGAGCCGAGATTGTGCCATTGCACTCCAGCCCGGGTAACAAGAGCGAAACTCTGTCTCAAAAAAAAAAAGAAAAAGAAAAGAAATGTGAAGAAACCCTAGACATCCCAGAGTGAAGACACAGGAACCGTGCCCAGGGGACACCAGTGCACGGTCCTCAAACACAGAACACACTCTGTTCCCTGCTTCATACAAGGGACAAAACCCTGAGGGTCTGTAGTGGGCTGGGGCGTAGATCAGGAGGTGGGGGAGCCAGGAGGGGCAGTCAGAGCCGGGGCAGGAGGTGCAGGCAGGAGAGAGTGTGGGGGAGGCTGCAGCCTGTCAGGTGTGACCCCAGCTCCCTATGAAGGGGCCTCCCACGCTGCCTCAGTGACGACCACGCAGTCCAGCACTTGCCCATTTTCCCAACAGCTCGGGGCTCCGGAGAGAGGGGCAATGCCCCTGCCTGCAAACAGTGGCTCCAGGGAGCATCTGCCACTCCAGGTTCTTGAGCTTGAGGGGACGGCCTGGGGCTCTGCCGGCTCCAAAAGGCAGGTAGTCACTGCAGAGCCAGCCAGACAGGAGAACAGGGATGGAAGTACCGACAGACAGATGGGTGGAGACCAGTGGATGGGAGCAAATGAACACACAGATGGTGGTGGCCCAGCGTGTGTTCTGTGGGAGCCCGCAGAGGCAGAAGGACCCAAGGACAGGCCGGAAGAAATGCAGACAGCCTGGGGCCAGTGTGGCTGCTGGGCTCCAGAACCACTACCCACTCTGAACAGATGCCAGGGTGAGGTTGACAGGCTGGGGTCAGGCAGGCTCTAGTCCATCCAGGCGTGCTGTGCCCTCCTCCTTCGGGGACCCCAGCAGGCCCTCCCCACTGACTAAAATCTCTTTGGGAGATTCAGAAACTCATTCTAGCCCCTTCTAGGGCCTGTGCAGGATGGAAGCCCTAGCCTCCTCCCAGGGCACCCCAGGCTGCCAGCTATCAGTGCTGGTGAGGGACCCCACATTCCCGAGGCCAGGTGGATGGAGGAGGGGGCTGCAGGCAGGAGGAGCCATTCCTGGAAGGAGGGGCACGAACCGTGGCTGGGTTTCCCTACAGCCTCACTGACAAATTTATCCTGTAGTGTCCCAAGTAAAAGGGTCATAAAATGCCATCAATGTTCATGACAGTTCATAAAAATGATCAGTTGAGCTGGCAACCCCAAAATGAGGTGGAAATAAGTTTAAAGATGTTTTTATTGTAATTCAGCTCTGAGATCCAGACATTCTCAGAGACATAAATAATAACACATCTGGCTCAGAGCCAGGACACGCTCCCCCGGGGCCCTCATGGTTCTGGCCTGAGGAAGCTGGCCTTGCTGCCCTGGAAGCCACAGAGCAAGACCTGACCCCATTGACAGAATCCACAGCTGGGCTCTGCTCACAGACTGGCCACCCGCTTCCCCCTGGAGTCAGGAACAGGGGTCCTCCAGTTCCCTTGACCCCTTCATCGGGAATCTTCCCCCATCCTGAAATTGTGCCCCCACCATCCTGCTTCCAGCCTGAATCCAATGCCCCATCTGCCAGGAGGGCCTCTAGAGGGACCTTCTCCAAACACACGTCTGAGCATTCCTCTGCTCTCCCAGCCTAGAGGACAGTGCCCACAGGCGGAGCATGCAAGACCCTTCAGCATCCCATTGAGCCAGAGCTGCCAAGTTTACTTCTCCTTCCTCCTACATGCCCTTCCCTGCTCCTACACATCTTTGCAGACACCCCCTTGCCTTAGTGAACTCCTACACATCCATCAAGACCCCACTCACACGTCCCCTTTCTCACCTCCTGGTGGGTCTCTGGGAGGGTGAGAAGCGGGAGGTGACAGCCTCATTTTTGGGCAGATGGACTCAAATGGCCAGTCTCACGTGGGCAGGAAGTACACTCTAACTCTTGAGCCAGGCTGCCCAGAATTCATACCTGAGCTGCTGCTGAGGCCTGTATCTGACTGGGCCTGGGGTCCCTCAGTCTCAACTGGGCACAACATGGTCTGCCTCCTGGGCTGGGGAACAACCTCACCACACATCACACCCAGCAGATGCTCAGCCAGCATCAGCTCACACTATCTGAGACAGGGGACAGCAGATAGCAGGACAGCAGGCCACAGGAAGGGGTGGGAGGAAGGGAGCCACTTGCCCCTCTCACGAATGCACAGTGGGCTCCTACCTGCAGGACGTCTCTTGGAAGGAGATGTTCAGGTCCCAGTGGGTGTGCACTCTGCAGGAAGAGAAGCAGAAGGTCCACTTCACTCTGGAGGCCCCTGACCCCAGCCTCAGGACAGCAGGGCATGTGCATACCTGTCTCGGGCCAGTGCCCTGCTGGGCCACAGCCCTGGGCAGTGAACGGGGGCGGCAGTGGCGCCCAGCACCATCTGGTGCCGGCTCCACATGCTGGGGTCTCCCACCAGGACAGGCCCATGGGCCAAAGCCAGCTCCTGGCCTGGGCAGACACACGAGTCAGGAAGAACAGCACCGAGACCCCGTCTCCCTCTGGTTTGCTGCCCTGCACTCAGAGGGGCCCTCGAGTGGTACAGCAGGCGGGGGCCGAGGCTGCTTTTGCATGGTCAGTCATGAGCCCGAATGGAACTCATTGCTGGAGCTGCTCTGGCCAGTCTGACACCCGGTCAGCAGGGTAGCTGGAGTGTAGGCCCAGGCCCGTGCAGACCCCTGGGTGTGCAAGTGAGCCCTGCACAGCAGAGCAGTGAAGGGACACCAGACGGGGGCAGACGAGGAAACAGCTCCTGCCTGCAACCCACACCGGACCCTAAAAAGACCAGCATCTGAGGGGAGGTGTGGAGGCCAGTGTAGACACCTCATCTGAGCAGCTGAAGGCCGGAAGCCCCGGCTGGCCCCCTCCGAGCCTTGTGCCTTCCTGCCGGCCCTGGGTCCTGGTACCTTCTCTTCATGATATGGATGTGCGGGCCATCTTCCCGCTTCAGGCCCGGCTGCCGCCCACAGGTGGGGCCACTCCCATCACTGTCACCATCGCTGGCAGAGAAGCTGGGGGTCCGCTCCTTCTTCAGGCTCCGGGCAGCAGGCAGGGTGACCGTTCTCTTGTCCGCCAGCCGCCCCCGGTTCTGGTGGGGCAGGAGGAGAGGACGGTGAGGCTGGACCAGGCCTTCAGTCTTGCAGGAGCCTGCCCTGGCCTCAATCCCCTAGCCTAGCCCCAGGCATGGCAGAGGCACCCTCAGAGCAGCCATCCTTCCTCCACCACCACCCGCCTCTGGGATGGGCCTGGGACCAGCAGGAGCCACAATTGGCCAGAGACCCAGAGGACAGCCGAGAGATGGGGCCTCAGTTGTCCCCCATACAGACGCCCACCAGCTGAGCCGTCCCCCGCCCCACCCCACACTAGCCTGGTTCCACTGTTTCTACCCTCCCAGCCCTTGAGGATGCCTGAGGGTCCTGGCCCATTCGGGGACCTGTGTGCCGCCCCTGTGTGGCAGGCCTCCCTCCCGGCTCACTCATTTGCCCTCACTCCCAGCTCCCTTCCCAGGGCCCCGTGCCTCCTGGGATCTGTGCAGAACCAGTTGGATCTAGTGGACTTGCACACAACACACACATGAGTTACCTCCAGCTATGCCTGGCAACCCCAGCATGTTCTTTGTGAACCCTCCCCCGCCACACCCTGCCACCAACGCAGATGTGACAAGCAAATTCCCTCTTCTACTTCAGCGCCACGCAGAGTCCAGCTCAGGGGCAGCTGCCACCTGGCACATGGCAACTGTGAGCCGAACCCTCACAGAGTGCAGGCCTGAGGCTCACAGGTCCCAGATGAGGAGCCCTGAGCAGCCCAGGTCCCCTGTTCCACCAGCCCTGCCAGGCATTTTCACATGGCTTCTTTCTCCCCATCTCCCTTGCACCCACGGAACAAGTGGGTGGAACTGTGGGTGCCTCTGGTGGGAGCACAGACACGCACCGTGGGACCCCTGCAGAACACAGGCGAGCCCCGAGCTCACGCACACACACGCAGACACTCAGACATGTGCAGACACTCAGACATGTGGACATGCGGTAGATATACACACTCGAACATGTGGACACACACGGATGCATACACATGTGGCGGACACATGGACACACAGTGGACACACACTCGGACATGTGGGCACAAATACAGCAGACGCACACACTCGGGAACACGCACCTACATGGGGGGACATGCACACACATACACTGCGTGGCACAGCAGCGCAGGCCCAGCCCCAGCCCCAGCCCCAGCCCCAGGCACTTCAGGCCTCCTCCAGTGTGTTTAGGTCTTACCACCCCCAGGGGAAAGAAGGGAAGTCACTGATTGTTTTCCAGTGTTGGGAAGCTATTTAAAATTTAATAGTAGGTCGGTCCTGGGGGTGGCAGAGGCCTTGAGAGCATCTAACTCCCTCTCCTCCTCCGGGTCTCCTTGCACTTCCTCCCTCCCCTTGACAAAACATAGCAGGAGCTTGAGAAGGTGTTAGAAGAGTGTCTTCCTCAGACCTAGAACCACCATCACCTTCAAATGCACAGCCCCAGCACCAGCTCAATTTGGGCAGTGCCCTCTCCCCAAGGGTCTGGAAGCTGGAGTATCCCCCTTCCCAGGTGGAAGCCCCCTTCCAAGAGCCATGTCTCTCCTTGGCAGCTACTGGGCCTGTGCTGGGTCCCCTCTTTTCTCTCTACCACAGCTCCGTGGGAAAACCCAGCACTGCTGAGCAGGGGGTGGTGGAGCATGGGGTCCTGCTAAGATCCTGCCCTGGCCTGGGCGGCCCCAGGCTGTAGGTGCAATGGCTGTCTGTGCCTGCGCTTCTGTGAGTGAGCTGGAGCTGGGGGTGTCTTCAACAGCCACAGCCTGTCTGGGGTGTGCTGTGCCCAAGAGTCCTGCTTTGCCCCACCCTTCTGCCCAAGCACCAGGGTTTAGAGGATCTGATGGCCTCTCCTCTCCCACCTCCCTTCTCTTGAAAAGAAAACAAAATGCTTTTTCCTCTGCTTCTTGTCTGTGGGATGGGGAAGAGGGGACGCCAGGACCAAAAGACCGCCCCTTGGAAGAAGGCCAGGGCCGGCTGGCTGCATGGGGCCCAAAGTAGGCAAGTGGAGGTGTCTGGCCACTCAGGCCTATTCTGCACCTCTACCTCTCCTACCTCTTCCTGGAAGAGGGGCTCCAGAGTGTGCCAGGAGCTGCAGCCCTAACCCCGGCAGCCATGGCCCTAATTGGCTCCAAATTGGTCCTTCCCAACAGGCATTCTTCCTTTTCAGACCAATCCTCCAACCCTCACTGCCCAACCAGAGGGCTGGGGGCTGGGTGGGGGGTGCAGGTGCCTCCCTGTTCAGAAGGCAGCACCCAGCACCCCAGTCTCTCCTGCCTGCTCCCTCAGTGAGGGCGTCCATAGCTTTCTACCCTGGGCTGGGGCCTTGAACTGGCCTCCAGCTCCAGTTCTCTGGACACCAAAGGCCCACACTGCAAAGACTCTGCCCCTGGCCAGGTTCTGTGTCCCTAGGACACCTAGACGTTCAGGCCCTTGCCTGGTAGGGCTCTGGCTCTCCACACCCCAAAGACACACGTCACTCACACTCAAGACTGTGGCTCCCCAGAATGCTGTCGCAACTACAATCACACCTCACAAGCCGGACCAGAGAACACAGTGACCCCCAAGCTGTGAGGGGCCCAGGTTTAATTATCCCACTCATGGAGAAGACCTGGAACCACACCACTGGAGGAGAAGCAGTTCCAAGGCACCCTAGGGGAGGCTCCAGGAGAGGCCCGGTCCTCCTGCCTCCACACTGGGAGGGAGCTGGGGAGCCTCCCCCTGTCCAGGTACAGGCGCTGGGAGAGCCAGAAGCAAAGCCCCTCCTCACTGCCCTTTGGAGGCTCCCTCCAGCACACCCGCAGGGACAAGCTCCGCAGTGGAAGGAGCAACTCCCAGCCCCAAGAGCCCCGTATCTCACCACCGGGGAGGATATTCGGCAGCCTGGGCAGTCGCAGATTGGAGGGTGCACCTGCAGGATCCCCTTGGACATAAGCGTCTTCAGACTTTTCCCTGCGAGCAGAGCCGAGGCAGACCCTGTGAGGGAGCGGCGCACTTCTGGACGCATAGGCGGCAGGGCCAGCCCCCTTTCCCCGCTCGCGGGCGAATGCACCCCGACCCCCCCCACACCCGCCTCGCCCGACCTCCCAGCCCGCTTCCCGCCCCACCCTCGCGCACGCCGCAGGGATCTGCCGGGCTCTGCACCTCCAGCTCTGGAGGAGCGCCCTCCCCGGACGCAGCCCAGGGCATCCCCGCGCGGCGCCCCTCCTTCCCGCGCTCCATCCTCTCCCCGGCCCCGAGGGAGCCGCAGGCAGGGCCTGAAAGGGTGAGTCCCGGAGCGCCGAACCGCCTGCGCAGCAGAAGGGACGATGGAGAGCCACGCGCTGCTCAGGTCCTAACTTCCTAACCCCCCGCGGCTCCTGGCGCTCACCTCGCCCCTCCGGTCCACGCTCCGGCGCCCCCGCGTCGCACCCTTGGGGCCATGCGCCCGTAGGCGCCCAAACAGGCTGCGCCCGGTCCTGGCGCCGCCGCTCTGGCTCCGCGTGAGCCCCCGCCCGCCCCGCGCCCCCGCGTGCCCCGCAGCCTCCCCCGCCGGTCTCTCGCCCCGGGCCGCACGTGCGCCCCGCCGCTCCCGCCGGACCCCGGGGCTCTGCGCCCTCTCCCCCGGGCTCCTGCCCGCGCTCTCGAGTTCCCGTAAACTTCCTTCCGGGCCTAAGGCCCAGGAACCTCGCAGACACCTTCCGAGCGGAGGGGCGGCCCGCGAACCCCAAGCGCTGTGGCCCAAGCTGGGAGGCGGTGCAGCGAGGGGGAGCTCTGCCCGTGTCCACCGAGGCACCGCGCGCGCGGCGGGGGAGTCCTCGCGCTGCAGCGCCCCCTTGGCCGAGCTGGAGGGTTCTGGGTGTCCGAGTCGGGTCAGGCGTGGGGTCGGGGCCCGCGGGTCCCCGGGGAGCCGAGGGAGGGACCGCGGCAGTTTGCGCCCCCACGGGTGTCGGGTTGGGGAGCGGAGTCCCGGGAGCGGAGGGAGGGGCGGCGGCACCTTTGTGGCGGATGCTGCGCTTCCAGTCCTTGGCCGTCTCGCGGCCGCTGACGAACTGGAACTCGTTGGGCGTGAGCCACTCCCCGCGGTGGCGGATGGACGGGCCCTTGCTGCCCTGGCAGAGTTTGCGCACGTAGAGTAGCGCGCGGTTGGCGCCGCACTCCACCTCGATGCAGGGCTCGCCGTTGTCCAGCAGCGGCTGGAAATCTGGGGCCGCGGCCCCGGTGGCCGAGAAGCGCTCGAGGGTGCGCGGGTCCCTGGGCAGGTGGAGGTGCGGGGCGGCCCCGGGCAGGCTGAGGTAGGCACGCGGGGGGCGGAGCGGCGGGGCCAGCAGCGCTTCGTAGCCGGCGGCCGAGGCGGGCAGCGAGGCGGCCGGGGGGAGGGCCGCGGCCGCGGGCAGTGGCGCCAGGTAGCCGGGCAGCGGCGGTAGCGGCAGCGCGGCCAGGCTCGGGTGGAACGTGGCCAGAGCCAGGACTAGGTCCTCGCGGCCCGGGAACTCCTTCTTGACCGCGGGCATAGTGTCCTCTCCGCCGGGGGCAGCAACTTACTCCGGCAGGGGCTGGAGTTGGGTCGCCGCGGAGGCGCCTGGCCGCGCGCCCACCCCGTCAGCTACTGAGCCCCGGCGCCTGCAGCCCCCGCCGCCGCGCCGCCCGCCAGGCCGCCCCGGACTGCCGCTGCCCGACCCGGCGGGGCCTTGGCGGCCGGAGACATGGAGCTGCCGGCGCTGCGATCGATCCCGGGTCCCCACGCCGAGCTCCGCAGCTCCGCGGGGCGTCGGGGGTCCCACGCCTCGGCCACCTGCGTCCGCGCCCGGGGAGGTCCCGCCGGCCAGGCCGAGTCCCGCAGCGAGGAGTCGCGGAGTCCCCGCCCCGACCGGGGGTCCCAAGCCCCCGCCCCGCCGCCCCGGCAGCGTCAGCCGTGCACTGGCGTCCACTGGCGCGCGCCCGCCCGGCGGGGACTTGGGAGACTCCGCCGCCGCCGCCGCCGCCACAACTTGGCCCATTTAAACGGCCCCGGCGCGGCGGGCGGCGCGGGCTCCCGCGGGGGGTGCGTGACGGCCGACTCGGTACATCCAGCGGCGGCGGCGGCGGGACAGGACGGCGGGACAGGGCTGCGGGCCGGCACTGTCCTGAGAACCGAGTCCCTGGGAGCCGCTGGAATCCAGGACTCCGCGCGGGACCAGGACGGGCTTGTCTCGGACCCGGCTCCTCTCGGCGGGAGGGAGCAGGGGCTGCTAGCCGGTGCTTGAGCGTGCGCTGGCGGCTGTTGGGTTTTGCACAGAGACACTGATGGTGGGCATTGGTGTCCGGGCGGGCGTGGGTGGTCTCTGTGCATCTGCGGGGAGCTAGGTTGTGCATTTGCGGCGTGTTGTCTGGGCAAAGTGTCTGGGAGGGCAGCAGCTGCCACCCATCCTTGCGCCTTCCCATGCATTTCACAGGGCTGAGTTCCCCTGAGCCACTGAGTTCCTTTTTAGGCACTGAGACAGAAAGGTCAAGTAACTCTCCTGAAGTCACACAGCTGCTTCAGATGCAGAATGTCTCACTCCAGGGCAGAGTCGGAGCCATGGTGTGGGGCAAGAGCCTCCTCTCACCCCGTTCCTTCCGGGAAGAAGGTGCTGTGGATCCCAGTCAGGCTGGGGTGGTGGCAGCAGGGTGGTAGGGTGTGCACCTGCAAATTTTCTTTCCCCACGAGGAGCAAGTCTAGTGGAGTGGACCTGCCACACCACGTCCACTTGGTGCCTTCTGACAGGTCAGCCTGGGCCCCAGTCCCTGGTCACCTCCCTGCCTGCCCAGATGGGTTCGGAAGAGCAGCAGAACCTGGGGCACTGGTAACAGCAGGCATGGCAGGCTTGCCCTGCCCTCCTGTGCCTTGTCGCACATGCTAGAATGGGGCCTCCTGTTGCCACCCTGGCCTCTGCCCCCTGAGATGCACCTGGCTTGTCCCTGTGGGCATCTCCCTGACCATGTCCAGTCGGTGAGTGGACCACAAGCCTGTTTGCACAGGTACCTTCTTCAAGGGAGGGAACAGCCCATCACCACCTCCTCCCAAGCCAGCCCCACTGAGCATAAATCCGACCCCTGGTGACCCCGCTGGGCTCCCTCACAGCTCATTTCCTCACCTTGTCTCTGCAGAGGCTTCTGCTGGCCCCAAAGCCCACCCTCGGAGTGAGGTCTGGGCCAGCTGTGCTCTGCTCAAAGAACATACCCAGAAGCCTCCCCCGCCATCCTGGCTATCTTCTGTGGGGGGCTCCTTCTTGGTCTGTTGGGGTCTGAGGGCCAGGTGGCCACCCTTGACCTGTCAACCAGTCTGGGGCTGGAACACCAGCATATCCCTGACCCCAGGTGTGGTGCCAGTGAGTTCCTGTGCCTTCCTCCTCCCCTGAAGCCTGAGTCTTGTCTCAAGTCTGATGCCATATGGAAAGTTGGCTCCTGGGCCAGCTTGGAGGCCATGTGCACTGGCCCTGAGTGCCCACTGGCCCCTGCCCTGACCCTATGGTCACAGCTCCTGTGTTGGCTTCTAGGTTCACCTGCACCTGATCCCCCAATGCTCACACAGTGACTTGGGGAGGGAGGCTGGCTGGGAAGGTGCAGGTCCACATGGCAGCACCTTTCTGGGTCTGAGGCCCTTGGGCCAGGCCTCTCCTCTGACCTGGGCCAGTGGAGGGGCCTCCTTTCCCTTTGAGGGCCCTCCCCTTGTTTGCCCAGCATCTCACCATGCTCAGGCCTGCAGTGCAGTTGCGGGGAAGGGGGGGCATGGGGTGGCCGTGGGTTTCTGGCTGGGTGGCCTAACCTCCAGCTCACAATCTGGCTCCACCTGTCTCTGGAGGACCAGAGTCTTTCCTGAAAAGACCCGGACTGTGTCCAAAGCTGGAGGCACCCTGTCCTCACCATCCAGTCCCTGATGTCCAGGAGGTCCCTCCAGGGGCTGGGCCAGGAGGCCTTCCCCACCACCTCCTTGTCTTTCTGGGAAGCAGCCACCTCCTCAGAGGCCACTTTCCCACAGGACCAAGCCTCCTCACCCCTAGCATCACCCTTCTCAGTGGGGCTGTGCCCCTTCCTTGGGCCTGTCCACTGACACACTCATCCTGTGTCCTGTGCACACACCTGTGTCCACTGCCACACCTGTCCTGTGTCCACTCACAGGACACGTTCACTAGTGCATCCATGTTCTGTGTTCACTCCCACACATTGGGGTCCCGTGCCCACTCACTCACCCGTGTCCTGAATCCACTGGCTCACACCCTGTTCTGAATCTACTTGCTCACACCTGTGTCTCATGTCCACTTGCACACCTGCATCCATGTGCTCACGTGTCCCGTGTCCACTCGCACACCTGTCTTGGTCTGGGACACCTGGGCCCCACTCTCCTGCACTCCTCAGACTGGCGAAGCTGGAGGGATGGAGTTTTGGTGATGGAATCATCCTGAGCGAGGCAGAGATGTGGCAGTGTGGACTCCACAGCCCCTCTTCCGGCCCACCGAGCCTTGGTGCCTCTGTCGCTGCTCTGGGTCCCCCTGCTGGGGCCCCTCCGCTGCTGCTGGGCTAAGGCTGGAGCCGCGGCTGCCACCAGAGGGAGGAGGTCATAAATAACCCTGGGGCTGCGCTGGAGCAGACGGTGACCCGAGACGTCCTGGGGGAGTGGGGGGCGCCAGGGGCCGCTGCCCCAGCCTGCACTCTGCCTCTGCCTTCCGGGGATGCCTGCCCAGGCTCCCCAGCACTTCTCTTAGCACCCCCTTCTCTTGCATTCCCTCATCAATCAGCAAACCATGTATTGAGCCCAGATGTGGTATAGCTCCAGGCCGAGATGGGAGGGAGAAGAGAGATGGGGAAGCTGGGTCTGGGGCCCACAGGTGCAGCCAGGACGTGCAGGTGAGCAGCGATCAGTCAGCCCCTCAGCTTCCATCCTGAGCTTGCTTACTTCTGGTGATGGAGGGAGATGTACAGAAAAGACCCTGCAGCCTGTGGGCATGTCAGTGACTCATGGCCGAGGATGCAGCCCTGTGAGTGCCCAGCTGCCAGCAGGGGCACACGTGCTCAGAAGCACAGGTGTGCCCACACCCTGCATGCCTGTGTATGGCGCAGCGGCTCCTGACTCATACGGCACCAACAGACCCTCCCATGGCCACATGGATGAAGAGGGCTTCACCATAGACGCCTGTGCAGGCAGGATGTGCATTCCTTCCAAGGCCTGTGCACAAGGCAGATGCAGGGCCTGAGGGCACCGGCACCGCACAGTTGCTGGCACACAGCCGTCAGCCACAGCGGCCAGGACAGTGCCAGGGCCTGTTGCTGTGGGACGTAAAGCCTAACCTGGGAGGTCAGGGGTCATGCTAAATCAGCTGGGCTCCCTCGTATGCTCCTGTAGAAGTGGCCAGAACCTCCAGGAACACACCTGCTCCTGGTCAGACGGGAGGAGTGGCCGTACTGCAACCTGCCAGTGCCTCCGGTTGCTGTGAGCCGGCTGTGCGCCATGTCATTTCAGGACACGGGAAGCTGTTTCCGAGTCCAGTCTGTCCACTGACCTGAACCTTTACCATCGAAAGAGCCAAGGAGTGGTCCCTGAGGCTCCCTTCCCTGCCCTCCTGTGCTGTGTAGTGAGGGATGCTCCATCAGACACACGGGTGGGCTCAGACTGCCGGATTCAGGGACGGTGCCATGGTCCTCACCTGCCGTGTCTCCAGGGTGCTGACTGACACCCGCACACTGGCGAGCGAGTGCTGGCCGGGCACACCCCAGACACTTCCTCTGTAGAGGGGCTGACGCAGAAGCCAGAGGCCACCACCTTGAGGCTAAGCACAGGAAAGGAGAGTCTCCAGAGCCCCAAGGAGCGGGAGGGCCTGTCCCGATGAATGGGCTCGGTGGATCTTACCCTCTTCTCCTGCAAACACTGCCGGCCTGGGTTGTGGATGCAGGTGGACATGGGCCTCAGTGGTCCTCAGCCCTCAGGGCTCGAGCCCCTGAAGCACTGTTGCTGCCCCTTCTCTGACGACGGGTCAGGGGGTCATCCAGAGCTGGATGCAGAGCCAGGGCCCAGCACGAAGGCCCTGGGCTCCAGGCTCCTGCACCCCACATCTGGAATGTGCCAGCAGGGTCCAGTATGAGAGAAGAGTGGATCCCCATGTGAGTGAGGGTGGAGGACTACCCATCTGCCATGGCCATGGTGCCAGTGTCCACATCAGGTCGCCCTCGGCACAGATCCCATGTGAGGCTGCGGGGGCCACACCCCTCGTTCTGGGTGCCCGGGCTCTGGCCAGTTGCTCCCGCTCTGCTGGCTGCACATTCAGTAGCTGGTGAGCTTGGTGGGTCTGTGGGCACGAAGAGACCAGAACCTGCTCAATGAGGCCCCATGAGGATACCAGGCTGTGCTGAACTCCAAGCTTTGGAGGAGAGGGGCACCAGCCAGGGCCCTGCACAGCAGCCTCAGGTGCGAGAAGCTGGAGCCTAGTGCAGCTGAGGAGGGGCTAGGTGCAGTGGCTGGAAGTTGCTGTTCTCGGACCCAGCTCCGAGGCCCTCTCCAACTGTGTGGGCGATCCAGGTTGGACCCCAGGTGTGACTGTATATCTCAGGGGGCTGGGATGGGAGCCCCCTGAAAGCAGTGTTTTTGTTAATTCACTGACAAACCCACGTGCCTGGCACGAGATAGGTCCTCACTCTGAAGACCACACACCCTGGGGTCATCCACGGTGTACAGAGGAGGGGTTGGCCCTGCTCGCAGCCAGACTGGGCACAGCCCCCAGGGGGCTCGCTCAGGGCAGCCCTGTTGCCTGCCTGCCTGCTTCCTCGGCTGCTGCCACCTGCCCAGGTGGGACTCTGCGTGCCTCCTGCCCCAGGTGCTTTGTAGGAGTTTGA